TCTCCAGGGTCCCAGCTCCTCACCAGGCCCTGGAGCCCAGCCCACACACCTGCCCCTCTCCCTGGAAGCCAGATTCCCAGTGGCAGGTGTCCGCCTGAGCGTCCACAGCCAGGGCAGGGCAGGGCAGGGGGCAGGGTCACATTGTCACCATCCCTTCTGTGCAGAAGTGGGGGCTGGAGGGCCGAGGGCCAGTTTCCTCCGCCCCTCGTGTGACACAGGTCCTCCTCCTCCCCGCTCCGCCCCCTCCCTTCAGCCCCTTCTCTCCTTCCCCTCCCCAGCCTTCCTCTTTTCTTCTCTTCCCACCCTCCCCTCCCACTCGCACTCTCAGGCTCCTGCTCCCTGAGCCTCTCTGCTCTCTGAAGCTGCCTGGTCTCCCTGCCACTGGGCCTTTGCTTGGGCCACCCCTCTTCCCGGTACCCACTCCCCAGTGCCTCCCTCATTCAGCCAAGAGCAATTCATCGGCACCACCTTCTCCGGGAGACTTCCTCAACCTCCGCAGGCCAGGGGTCCTCTCTGCTGCCTCCTGGCTCCTACAACCCCTTCCTCATGGCCAGCCCAGGACAGCTCTCTGGGTGCTCTGAGTCCTCCACGAGAACACAGGCTGCTTGGAGCAGGGATGCCCTCTAGGTGACATGGTGCCCTGGCGCCCACAAAGCGAGACCCTTAGCAGTGCTTGCAAGCCATTTGCAGAGTGAATGAATGCTGGCTTCCCACACCCTGCCCTGCACATGGACTCAGCCCTGACCACTCACCCAATTGCAACTCCCCAGCTCCCCAAGTGTCTACCAGTGCCCCTGGCTGTGGCTCATGGCCTTTGCCCATCCTGCTCCTAGAGTTCACTCAAACAGCAGTTACCGAGCAGCTCCTCTGAGCCAGTGCCTGAGGCACCTCAGAGGCCTAAATGGAGAAAACTCTGCACTCTTGGGGTCTTGGGTCCCCAGGGTAGACAGACAAAACAATAAATATATGGAATGCTAGGCAGTGATGAGTGTTCAGCAAAACAGTTAAGCAGGAGGGAAAATAATTGAGGAAATAAATCACATGACTATCTGGGAAGAGCATTCTAGGGGGAGCAGCCAGTGCAAAGGCCATGTGGCAGAATGTGGCATGTTTGGGGAATAGTGTGGCTGCAGAGGAACGCAGGTCACAAGGAAGTGGGGAGCCTTGGGGATCTGACCCACACTGAAAACTGCTCCTATTCCTAGCTCTACAGCCATGCCAATTCCTAGGGGAAGAAACTTTGCCCCAACACAAGTCCCAAGAGTCCCTCTGATTATACCAACAAAGGCCATGTGCCCATCTCTGAGTCATATCTTATATCTAAATGGTCCCCCAAAGTCTCCTGTACTCATAGGTGAGGCTTTGGGGAGGTGGCTGGATGATGGGTCTGATACTGGATCATACATATGTGGCACTGGATTAGCCCACTGATGGGTTTACAGCTGGGTGTGATGCTGGGAGGTGTGGGTGTGGCCTCGGGATATATATATATTCCTGCCTTGAACATGTGCTGCCTCCTGCCTACCCTGACATGGACTGTTTCTCCTCTGTGATGCCTCTCTGCCATGCTACCCTGCCTTGGAGCCAGCCGACCATGGACTGAAACCTCTACAAACTGTGAGCTAAAATAAGCCTCTCCTTCTCTAACCTGTGGGTGTCAGGTATTTTGTCCCAGAAACAAGAAAAGTAACTAAGACACTGAGCCAATCACTGCAGAGGAGAGAAAGGTCACCTGCTCCCCCATCACATTGTAGAAGCACACAGTTCCCCCTCAAAGAACAGAGGGTGCTGGGTGGGGCAGGAGGGAAGAGGTGCTGGGAGGCATCAGCCCATGGGACCTAGGTCACTGGTGCCCCAGCCACGTTCACTTTATGGACTGGAGCTAATGTATGGAAAGCACCCAACAGTTGCTTCTTGAAAAGCAATTATTCCTTTTGTTATTACATATAAAAACCCACCAAGAGAAAGAGGAGCCAACTTCAATATGTGGTCCCAGAGGACAAAACTAGTGTTCATAAATACAAATCCCAGGGAGTCAGGGTCTGATTCAAATCAAGGATTTTCTAATAACTGGAGTTGCCCCCGACCCCTCTATCCCTGCAGGGCAATGAGAACCATCCTGACCCTCCTGGCAGCTATAGAAGGAGGTGTGACGTAGGTGTCTCTGAGATCAGTGCACTTCCAGGATTCTCCTCTAATGGTGGTCCACCGACAGAACCAAGAAATGAGGTCATTATCTCCCCGCCCAAATAAATAAATAAATAACCCAAGGCATTAGAAGCATGCAAGAAAAGAGAATTAAGAGATTAAGACTCAGGCCTGGGATTTAGCTCAGTGGTTCCACCACCTGCCTCGCAAGCTCAAGGTCCTGAGTTCGATCCCCAGTACCAAAAAACAAAAAAACAAAAAAGAAAAGCAATTAAGACTCCCTGAGCCTCTGATAGTCTGGTCCCAAGGGCAAGGGGGACAGGACACAGCCATGTCCCAAACCAGACCCTACAAAGTTGACCACCGAAAGCTCAGAGGGAGGCCAGGCATCTTCGGATACTCTGGGCCCCTGGGAAGTGGAGGGGACAAAGAAGGGGTGTCCAGAAAGACCCCAACAGTCCATTTGTGGTGCCTGGGATGGTTAAACCTGGTTGTCATTTGACTGCATTGGGAGACACCTAGCAAGTTCGTGACACACACTTCTGAGTGTGCCGGTGAGGCGTTCTCTGAGGTGACGGGTGTGTGGGCCAGCACCGGGAGGGAAAACCCCAGAGAAGTGAGGCCAGGGCCAGCTCTTGTGTGTACGCTCAGCCTTTCCAGAGCAGGTGCCTTTCTATGCAGCCACTGTGGACATCAGACTCCAGATTCTTCAGCCTTGGGGCTGGGACCCACAGCGTGGCCTGCCAGGGGCCTGATCAGGGCTCCATTCTTCATCCCTCTCCTTCTTAGATGGAGCAGCTACTGGTCCCCCTGGCTTGCAGCCTGCAGACAGCCACTGCGGGGCTGTTCTCCCTCCAATCCTGTGAGCTGCTCTGACCGAGCCCCTTGAGCAGTTACCCATATTCCATTGTGTGCTCCTCTGGAGACCCCTGGCTGACACAGACCTTGTCCTGGTCCACACCATGACTCTAAACCAGAGCGCTCTGTGGAAGAGGAGGCTGGACACAGCGCCAGGGACACCAGGGCAGCATCTCAGCTGAGCCAGCAGAAGGGCCCGCTACATGTGCCCAGGATGCTGCCAGTGGCCACCCAAAGAGAACAATGCCTGGATCCCCGGGGCTGTGACCCACCTCTGGCCCCAGCCACTCCGCATTCTTGCATCCTGGCCACCCTCAGCCACCTGCTCCTCCTAGAGCTGCCTAGGGCTTCCTTCCACCCCACCTTTCCTCTTGCTCCCCCACCTCAGATTCCAAGCCTTCTCTGTACTTTGAGGTTTTTTCTAATGCCAGCATCCTCTGAACCCTTCCCTGGTCACTGCATTCACGGGCTACCTCCCTAAAATCTGAATTTCCTTCCATCGCACTTTCCCTGCTGGGGAGACTGAGTTTTCCCACTGTGCACTGCATCCCTCTGAAACAGTCTTCCTTCTGGGCAGGGCCATCTGCAGTGGCTGGGGCAAGGCTCAGATAAGCTCTATGGTGACGTAATCCTGGACAAGGGCCCTAACTTCTGTGAGCCCATTTTCCCCACCATCTGTAAAACAAGCATCAGAATGGCACCCAGGTGACAGTGCCTTACAGGAAACAACTGGACATAGCTGTTGGTGGGGACCTGGCCCAGATGATGGCACGACTGTCAGTACAGATGCAGGCAGCCCTGTGTCTGTGGGGTTCACAGCCACAGGCTCAACCAGCCACAGAGCAAAAAAGAAATTTGTTGTTTTTTTTTTAATTGCATCTGTACTGACCATGGACAGAATTTTTCTTTATTATTATTCCCTCCTCTCTAGTACAGCAACTATTTTTAAAACATTGATATTGTATTAGGTACAATAAGTAATCTAGAGATGTTTTGAACTTTAAAGTATATCGTGACACACATCTGCAATCTCAGCACTCAGGAGGCTGAGGTAGGAGGATTGCTGCAAGTTTGAGGTCAGCCTGAATTGCATAGTGAGGCCCTGATTAAAAACATAAACAAAAAAGAATGTGGAAGGATTGCCCAGGTCACTTGCAAATAGGACGCCATTTTATGAGAGGGAAGTGAGTGTCCTCAGACTTGGGTATCCATCCTGGGACTGGGAGGTCCTGGAACCCGTGCCCTGGGGACCGAGGGGTGACTGTGTTTGCTGTGTATTTCTGAGCACCTCTCAGAACCCAAGACTGTAACTGATACATGGAATTAATGAGGCAATGGTCTGCAGGAATGAGAGGGGGAAGGGAAGGGAAGGGAAGGTTGCTGGCAGTGAGCTGGCCTTTCCCTCAGCACTCAGGGCACCTGCTACAGAAAGAGGCTTGAGGAAGGGAAACAGTCACCATCCCTGCCATTATGAAGAAGTAGCCTAAAGGCAGGAAGGCTGCTCCCCCAAATGCCAGGTGAGTCAAGCCAGATCCCACCACCCACTGCCTTGAAGTGTGACAGAGGTAAACTGAGGACCAGGAGGCAGCAACTCTGCCCTTCCAGCTGCCAATCAGCCTAGAAACTGTTCCTGCCAGGGTCGGTGCGGGGCACACTGGTGGTCATGAGAAAGCTGATTCCCAACAGCAGCTGGAGCCACGGGCTAGAGCATGCATGGTCCCTGTTGTTGCAGGCACAAGGGTTTGCAATGGCTGGCATTTCCTGAGTACCTACTGTGTGCATTTTACCACATTATCTCTGATCCTCAGGTGTCCCTGTGAAGCAACTATTTCAGAGCCAAGGAAGTACAGGCGCGGGGGCTGTAAATAGTTGGCAAAAGATCACACAGTTTGGAAGGGGCAATGCTGAGATGGAAACTGAGGTTTCTCTGATTCTACATGTCCTTTCTCAGGGGACTCTGACAGCAAGAAGGAAGATCATTCATTTTACCCAAGTGAGGTTTATTCGCAAGCACTTAAGAAGCATCCCCATGCTCACCCATCTATTCACAGGAACACAGAAGCCCGGGACTAAGCTCTTCAGGAAGGGGAAGTGAGACACCAAAGTGTGAGACCAGTGGGGAATGATGCCAGGTAGCATGCTCCAAGATCACACCAACCCCAGCCCAGACCTCCAGTATGAACATGCATGAAGGGGCTGAGCTGGAACTGCAGGTACCTCCTGTGACTGCCGCCAGATGGCAGCTACAGGCTATTCAATCAGACTTTGTCCTTGGAGACCAATAGGTCACCTTGGGTCATTTCTTCCCAAAGAGGGTGGCAGCACCTGACAAGAGAAACAGCTCAAGGGACATGAATGGAATGTGGATATTTTTAGGCACCCATTACTTAAGTGAGTAAAAATGGCCAGGCTGCAGAGAACCTCAGAGGAATGCCAGACAGGAGAACAGCAAGGTGACTGCCCTGTGTTCATTCTTTTAGAGTTGAACGACCAAGGCCCTGGCCCCACCTCTCGGCACAAGGGCTCCATCCCAGGGTCAGGGGGTGGCACTAGTCCTTCCTCATGGTGTAGCCCTGGATCATGCTGTTGAAGTAGGCTGCTGTGTTGCGCTCTGGGTAGAAGAGGATCATGTAGCACTTGGGGCCAAAGTACCCCAAACTGATGGCCAGGAAGTTGAGCACAGTGACCAAGAGGTCCATGATGGTGACCAATACCCCATTGTAGACAGACATGAAGGTGCAGAGGGAGATGGAGGAGGTGAAGGAGAAGGTCATACTGAGGGTGATGAATTTGGCCTCATTGTAGTTGGTTGGCAGCTCCTTGCCCAAGTAGGCAAAGATGAAGCCCATTATGGAGAGGACCAAGTCCATGCTGGAGTTGAACAGCAGCCCAGTGCGATAGTTGGGGTGGCAGGAGAGGATCATGATGTTGGGGTCTTCAGTGTCAGTGTGGGCAATGGGGTTGATGGTGGTGGTCAGCATGTTGCTTGCTAGAAGAATCCCCTTGAGTACTATGATGATCGCCACAAAGACATAGGGCCCGTGGTAGCGGACCCAGAAGCCATAGGCACGTGGGAGGTAGCTGGCCATCTTGAAGATGCACACAATTTGGAAAGAGCGCACGGTGATGCAGGAGATGCACACAGAGTAGCAGATTGTGAAGAAGGCCTGGCGGCAGATACAGGTGAGGACCGTGGGCTGCCCCACATACATGGGCACCATCCCGAATGCCAGAAGCAGAGGCATCAGCATCAGAAAGCACATGGGACCCCCAGCTGAGCGGACCATGGGCGTCTGGAAGTGCCTCCAGAATATGACCAGGACAGCCAGCGTGCTGAGGAAGCCCAGGACGGCCAGCACAGCCACAATGATGGTGGGTGCCTCATGCCACTCGAGAAAGGCCAGCTTCCGCTTGAAGCAGGAGGTGTCCTTCCTGTTGGACCACATGGTGCTCGGGCAGGGCTGGCACTCATATTCATCTGCAAAAGCCCACAGTGACTCGGGTCAGCTGGACCGAGTGTTCCAGCAGCTACATTGTCTAAGCCCCACCCCAGGCCAAGGAAAAGCTAAATGCTCAACTCACAGTCGGCTCTCACCAAGTGTCTCACACCATTGGCTCATCAACTCCCCCAGCAACCCCTTTCACATTTGGGGAAACCAAGGCTTGGCCAATTCACTAATTTGCCTAAAGTTACCAAGCCAGGAGGTTACAGAGGCAGAATCTGAACCCGGTCTCCTGGACTCAGCCTACTGCATGTAAATACTCCTGAATCCTCGTCTCTAGTGGGAGAGACATTTGACCACTTCTTCCAGGAATCATTTAATAAATATTGTTTTGAGCACTGTCCACTATGACAGGGACCTGAGGCAGGGTCCACAGAGATGAGAGATTCAGCCCCAGCCTCCAGGCTACGGCCACCTACAGGAGGAAGGCCAGGAAACCCCTCCCCAAACTTGAGCTTGGCATCTACTTCACTCAGCACTTACTTAACATGCAAGTACTTTGATCAGGGGATGAAATCACTCACTGAATTTACTCATCAGTGAGTTGAAGAGGAAAAACTGTTTTTGAGACTCAACTCTGAGGTGCGCTAAATCCTAATGTGAACACAGAGATGATGTTTCCCCCATTTTCCCGGAGTTTATGGTGTATTGGGGAAACCAGGAAAGTTACAACACTCAGTAGGCTGAGACGGGAGAATTGTGAGTTCAAGGCCAGCCTGGGGTACAGAGCAAGGCGCTGTCTCACAAACAGAAGGCAAAATAGTCATTCCGCACACACCCTCTGAGCAGCAATGCTATGCTCTGAACTATCTGAGGCACTGAAAGGCCAGAGACATGGATCAGTTACCACTGCTGTCTACCAGGATTTTCCTGCTATTAGAGGGCCATTCATTGGTTCATTCATTCATTCATCATCCAGTGGATGTTCTCTGGCCGGATGACCCTGAGCCCTAGGCTCTCGGTTGTGTGTGTGTGCTCACCACGCATGTGTACTGGGGGTCAGATCCATTCCTGCCTTAGGACAGTGTTCTCCCTTTTCTCTCCCTCCTTCCCTGAACCAGCCTCTATGGATGATTTTGCTCTACACCAGATACTGGGGAGCTAGAAAAGGAATCAAGCGTGGCCCCTGGCCTTTGGACACTCACATCCTCTAGGAGACCCAGGGGTGGAGCAGGGCAGGACAGGGTGGGGCGGGCAGGGGCGTGGGCTGCAAGCTGCACCTGCGGTCTGGTTGAGGAAGGTGCCCGGCAGGCAGTCGTTGCACTCAAAGCAGCAGGGGTGGATGCCCACGCTCTTCTTGATCTGTCCCAGTTGGCAGTTTTTGGAGCACATGGACGTAGGTATCTGGAAGGAGGAGGGAAAGAGACGCTGAGCCCCCTTTCCCACACTCTGAGGGTTCCCCAACCCTCTCCTACTAGCAAGATGCTCAGGGAAGCTTGGCCCCTGACTGGGAGGCGAGAGCTGCTGGAATTGCCCTTAGAACTGGACTTCTTAGTTTTACCTGCCCAAGACCTAATCAGTCTTCCCCTGGCAAAAGCATTGAGACTGAGATTGTCCTGAGGGGACAAGATGCAACCCCGGAGCTGTAGCAGATGTCTTATCACAAAGGGGCCAACGTGGCCCAAGGAAAAATCTGAGAAACAGAGAGAGTGACACCCTCTATGCATCCCTGCCCAAAGTCTCACAATGTAGAGTTTTCAATTATATAAGCAAAAAATTAACTCTTCACAACCATGATTTTCTGTCACTTGCATCCAAGACTCCTAATTAACACATCCTTCCTGAACTGCTGAGCAGGGGTTGCTCGGGTGAACAAGAATATGTAAGCAATGATCATCCCTGTTGTTTTTACTGCTATGATTTCCAGAACCTAGGAGAACCCAGCAGAGGGGAGGCATCTTATCACCATGTATTGATGAGTGAATTACACACAGAGGAAACAGTGTGAGCAATTGGGTAAAGGTAGAGAAAGGTGGCAAGATGAGAAAGACAGAGTGTCCTGGACACTGAGCGGGCAATCTGGAAGCACAGACCTAAAGGGTGAGGGAGTACATCATGAAGATATCTGCTCCAGGCCGAGGGGACAGCACATGCTAAGGCCCTGTGGTGACAGAGACCTGCTCAGAAAGGTCAGTGTGGTTTTGAAAGGACCAAGGGGGAGATTGGCAGGTCAATTCAAGGAGTACAGCAAAAATACTTTGATTTTTTAATCTGCATGAGATGAGAAGTTACTGGAGAATTCTGATAAGAGTAGCGACTTCATTTTAACAGGATTGCCTTGTTTTATGTGTTGAGCATGGGGGGCAAGGCAGAAGCAAGAAATCAGACAAGACACTACTGCAATGGTCCAGATAAGATGCGATCTGGCTCTGACTAATGAGACAGCAGAGGTGGGCATGAGAAGTGCTCAGATTCTGGGTGTGTTTTGGAGGGAGACTGGACAAGGTTCCCTGCTGGATTGGATGAGAAAAAAAGAAATTAGGGTCAGTCCCGCATTTTGACCTATACAAAAAGAAGGGTGATGCTGATTTGTGCTGAAATGAGGAAACCTGGGGGATCGAGTTTTGGCAGGCAAATGGAGACTTGACTTGAGGATCAGGAACTAACGCCAACAAATGAGAAATAAAATTTTGAGTTGAAAACAGAGCTGATACATCAAGCCATGCAAACAAAAGAGAGTAAGTCCAGTGAACCCTAGTGTCCTTCAGGGTTAGAGACTAAGGAGATAAGGAGTAATCAGGAAAGGGGACCAGAAGGATCAGTCATGGTTGTAGAGAAACCGAGCAATAATAGTCCAAATGCAAGGAAAGATACAGTGTCCAAAGAGAAGTGCCCAGCTGTGTCAAGTGCTGGCCATAGGCTGATCTTGGTGGTGACCTTTGGATTATCAACTCACACACATGAGTGCTCTTGACCAAACCAGTTTCAAAGAGTGGTGTGAAGGAGCGCTTCATTGGAGTGGCTTCAGGAGAGCTGCGTGGAGGGGCTCTGGTTTCCATCCTGACCTGTGAGGAGCTGGGAGGCCACTCCATCACTCCCATCCTCACAGCAACAAAGGAGCTGAACACACTGCGTATCAACAACCCCGGTCCATCAGAGAATTGGGGTCACAGGGCAAAAGTGCAGCCTCCCAAACTAGAGTTGATACAGGGAACCAAGGGCCTGTGAAGGGCACTGCTCTGGAGCACAGGATCCAGAAAGTTCAAAAAACATCAAACAGGATAAATACCCAAGTAAACTACATTTAAGAATATCATATTCAAGCTACAAATAACAAAGACAAAGATAAAATTCCAAAAGAAATCATAGGTGGAGAAATACCAACAAAAATTGTTATCAGAGGAAAAGAAGGATATTTTTAATGATAAATGCTCATCCCATCAAGGAGATATAATAATTATATATAATAAACACATATGCCACTAATAAGAAAACCCGAAAAGTCATAAAGCAAAAAAAAATCAGAATTGAAGGAAGAAATAGATAATTTAATATATAATATTTAATAGTGATAAATGGAAACATCAATATTCCACTTTCAGTAATCCATGGAACTAAACAAGATGAGTGAAATAGAAGACTTGAGCATCACTCTAAACCCACATGGAAGGACTCCCATGACCAACTAACAAAGAAGGAGAACATTCGGCAATGATTCACAAGCAGGGCAGCTAGGAATATCAATATGAATTGGCAAATAGGAGCTGCCATCTAAGCGCTCACAGGCAGAGCTTTTAGAAGGTGATTGGAGAGTGGGGGCACTGTGTTCATCAGTGGATTCATGTGCTGATGAGCTCAGTGGCTGACTGTGCTATTGGGAGGGCCTGCTCAGAAGAGGCGGGTCATTGGAGGTGTGATGCAGAACAGTACCCTCCCTCCTTGGCTCCCCCCTTCTCTCTCTGCTTCCTGACCACCATGACATGAGCAACTTTCTTCCACCCATGCCCTTCCACCATGCCAAACACAGACTACAATTTCTGAAACTGTGAGCCAAAACTAGTATCTCCTTCTTTAAGTTGCAGGTGTCAGGTATTTTGTTGCAGCAACAAGGAAAGTGACTCATTTAGGGCATGGTCCCAAGAGCCTGAGCTTTCTTTCATAGTCTGCCTGGCTACTGCTACTGCCAAACACCAGAACTTCCAGCTACAGAGACCAGCATGGAGCCCCTGCTTGGGCACCATTGCTCGAGAGGTGCAGGCAGCCCACCACAGGTAGACCCAGCAGGTAGACCCAGGGGTCAGAGCCTTTCCTCTTCATCCTCAGGAGGGTTTACTTTCCTGGTATCAGTGGAGTGTCACTGCCCAAGTGCCTACCAAGGACTCTCTGACACAGGACCCCATCTCACCTCAGACAAGGGTCTGACTTCCTGGTGACAGAGGTGTGACAGAAGCACACAGCCACAGGACTCCTGATCCTAAAACCACCTACGATATCCACCTAATGAAATGACAGCATATTAAAGGCCCAGCTTGGGTGCCACCATGGGGAAGATACCCTGTGGAGGGGGCACTGCCCATGGACCCAATGTACATACCCTGAACTAGCAGCTGCTATGTATGCAGTGGCACTGACAGCTGGAACAACTGAGGGAAAAAGATTGGCCACACAACCCGTTTTCCTTCAGGGCCCATTGTAGAGTTGGTACTTTGTCTCACGGAAGTCTTGACTGTGGGAAGCAAAATGCTGCTCCCCACAGTGGGCCCAGTTCCACCAGCAGACACCAAGGTCACCCTGCTCATCCTGGGGTCCCTGCACCAGTGAATGGGAAGGCCAGAAAGGAGGATGTGATTGACCTGGACCCAAGTAGGGGGCTGGGTGGAAAGGAGAGCTGGGAGCCCAGGGGCGCCCAGGAGTCCTTGATCCATCTGTCCTGGTGGCCACTGCTACCTCAGCGCCGCAGCCAGCAGGGACAAGTCAGCCAAGGGCCCAGACACCCGAGGGCTGAAGGTCTCCACCACCCACCAGGCAAGAGGCCCACAGCAGCCAAATGCTGGCTTGAAGAAGGAATCCAGGATGAACGACCCAAAGGGACAGAAGACAACTATCATTACAACCTGGTGCCACCAAGCTCCCTCCTGTAAAGACTGGGCTGGCTCACAAGGCCCAGGGAAGGGCCCAGTGTACGGCTTGGCAGGAGGCACAGACAGACCAGTGGTCTCAGTCCTATCTTCTCAGCCCACTGCTCACCCTGCCATTGCTGCAGCCACCAGTTTCCTGCCACTGTCACCTGTCACCTCACCTCAGCTATAGTGCCATGTGTCTTTGAGATGCTTTTAAAGGATCCCCAGATCCCCTTCCCACTCCACAAGGCTGGTCTTGATCCCACTCTACTCTAGCAGAGTCCCAAAGGTCTATTCTCTACAAAAGGTAAAACTGAGGATCTTCAGATTGACAGATGTCAGTCGCAGTTGAAGACACAGCTACCATCACAAAACAGGAGCATCAAATGGCAGGATGCAGCCCAAATGCTGAATGTATAGAACCTGCACTGCAGGCGGCTGTGTGTACTTATGCAGGTCACACAGCCTCTCTGGGCCTTCAGCATCTAATCCGTACTATGCAGAGAACAATAACCTCGGTCCCCTAGGGCTGAACTGAAGTCCTCAGCACGAACCCTAACACACACAAGCTCAGTAAAGATCTACTCTGCCTCAGGAGCTGGACACCTCTGACTCGCACGCTTCTCAATTAATGGGGAAGAACAGGATCCAACTATGTGCCAAAATGGGAGACCCTTCCAGGGACCGCTAAGGAAATCTCCAGTGCCTTCCTAGATAAGAAAGGCCCTTGTCCCCCAGTGTGAGCTTCCAGCTCCCCACCCCACCCTGCCCACTATCCCCAGCTGACCGTGTTGTCATAGGTGTGCCAAGAGATGTTGCCAATGATCTTCAGCTGCTGCTGCATGGGGTCATAGGAGGCGACACTCTGGAAAGGATTCTGGCTCAGGTGCCACTGCCACTGGACGATGTCCAAGCGCAGGGGTACATCCCCTTGCTTGTCAAAAAAAATCTGGTTTCCCAGGAGGGGGAAGTTGACCTTCTGAATCTCTTTCAGCAGCTGGAGGGGTCAAAAAGAACAGAAGTGGGTCAGGGTGAGCCTAGCCTGCCCACCACCTCCACCTCCACAGCTGTCAAGTGGGCAGCTCAGGAGGCACTGGGCCAGATGCACCTGGGTCTCGGCCTCAGCTCTGTCCCTTGCTGAACAGTGCTGCATCTGTTGCTTAACCTCTCTGAACCTCAGTCTCCTCTACTGCAAAGTGGGAACAGTGTGACTGTACCTGCTGCACCCTGAAGCCATCTACGTTAGGGGCTCAGAACTAATGATGTCTGAGAAACCTGGCCTCATCCTCTTCCTTGGAAGTCATCTTGGTCAATGCTCAGGGCCCAGAACCCATGGCCCCATCGCCTGCAAAGGCCAGCTGGGGCTGCTCCTGCTCCCTGGGTCCTTCCTGCTTCCTACACCTAAGGGTCAGCTCTTTCCAGTCTCTCCCCCATCCCAGAAGCAGGTACCAACTAGAACTGCTCGGAACTGGGCATCCTCTGTCCTCAACTGGCTGGTGACTTTGGGCACTGAGCCTCTGGGGTAACCCTAAAAAGGGGTTCAATCTTCCTCTTAGCTGTACCCCCATAAATGGGGGGTCTGCTAGGCTATGCTGTGGGGACCTGGGAGCTCACCTCACTCAGGGACTGGCCAAGAGCAGGGCCTGGGGAGGGTACCCTCACTCCTCCCTCGCCTGCTTCTGGGCCGAGGACCTGGATCCAGAAACCTCTCTGAGTCTGCACAGGCTGCAGGGACAAGGGCATAGAGGTTCCTGGGGAGGCCAGTCATGAGTGTCCTGTGTCCCCTCCTGCAGTGACCTGTCCAAGCCTGGCTGAGCCAGCTGAGATTTGAGGTGCCTGGGCGGGGCTTGGGTATCTGGGCTCCCTCTTTGGGTGTGAGCCCTGTTTTCCCTTCTCACCTCATACCGCCCTGGCTTCTGGCATTGTCCTGAAGCATCTGAGGCAGACCCAGACCTGTCCTCTGCCTCATCCTCTCTCTTGGGCTCAGGCACTTGGTGTCAGAAAATGCGGAGCACATTCACCCTCCCCTCTGCACCAGAAAATCTGTATGCATTGTTGTTATGCCTCTCAGTAACTCATTGGGATCTGAATCACTCCTTCTACTTCACAGATAAGAAACCTGAGGGTCTAATTCATCTGCACAAAAGCCCATTGTTTTCTAACTCCCAGTGATACTGTCTATGCCAGGGGAGATCCAGGGGACACCTACATAGGGGACCAGGCTCCCTGACTCGAATCCCTATCACCGGATGGTCTTGGAAACATCATCTTAGAGGTCTGCTTGGAGATCTCCCTGGGCTCTTCCTGCAACACAAAGCCCCAATTCCTCCATCTGGCCCTTAATGTCCTCCAGTGTCACCTGGGGCTCCCCTTGTAGCCTGCTCTCCATCATGCAGCCAGGTCACCTCTCTCCTACTCTCCTCCTGCACCGTCCAATGCTTGCCCTCCTGTTTCCCTCCATCTGGCCTTCCCTAAACCTTCTCATTGTGTGGCCCCTACCCAAAGCACAGCAGCAATTTCCACTCCGTGCTGCATTTTAGAAGGGACAGATTGAACGGCCTTCATCTCTTCCTAGGTGCAAGTCCCCAAGACCTGGCACACAGTAGGTGCTCAATAAATAGGACTGGATATCCTGGTGGCTGTGATTGGTGCCCTTTGTCTTCACTGTTAGAAGAAGGAAGACAACTGGTTCTACATCACAGCTCCTGAGGAAGGTGGAGACCACAGTGGGAACCAGACGCAGGTTCAAAGCACGAGCTGGCACAGGCACGTACATTGCTGGACACCCTGTCCCTCCAATCCCTATCTGTATATGATCAGCCCTTAGGGTGGCTCTAAGTTGGACTTCATCTGCATGGGCAGTCAGCACCTGGTTGGGGTTTAGAAAACAGCAAACGCCTACTTGACAATTATGTGTGTTGCTAATGTGGTAGGACATAGAGGAAAACGACACAGAATTTCTTTTAAAGAATAGCTGCCTACTTTTCTTTTAAGATAAGTGCAAGATTAGACTCAGCTTACGGCATAGATAGGTACAATTAAAATAGAAAGGGGAGGATATTTTGCTGTTTTGTTTGCAGTTTGGGGATGGAACCCAGGGCCTTGGGCAAGCCTGGCAAGTGCTCTATCACTGAGCTATACCCTACTCAGACATTACTCTGCTATGGAAGTGAGTAGTTATCTGGGGATGGATAGGGATTTAGAAAGGGGAAGAGGGGGGAGAATAAAGAGAGGAGCTGGGCAGGGTTTGAGAAGTGGCTGAGCAACAAAGCAGGAGGCTGGGCCCAGACTGAAAAAGCCAAAGAGCTGTTAAGAAGCTGAGATGTCTAGAGGCCCGGTGTAAAGTGGGCCCTTCCTACATGAATCCCCTCTGCCTCCCTGATCCTCCTTACAAACTTCCACAGCCTCGAAGGCTTCACGGTAGGATGTGTGTGAAATCAGAAAAACACAGACTTAAATTGCAGGTCAGAGCTAAAGCTTCACAGCCTCAGGGATCCCGGGGGAAAGCAGCAGCCCTCCCCAGGTGCTCCACCTGCCCAGGGCCTTCCTTCCAGAGAATTCCACTTGGACCTCCAAGAACAGCCTGGCTTGGGTGGCAGCTCATTTAAAAAGGACTATTGTTTTGGCACCAGGAAGGACTTCTGGCTGTTTGCACTCTGAGGGAGGGGACTCTCCATGGCCTCTCACACCCCTTTGCCCACTCCACCCCCCAGTTTAGAGCTGAGCCAGTGAAGGCCCTGCGGTCTCCATGGCAACCAAAGGGTCTGTGCCTGCACAGGAGGCACTCACCTGCCAAGGATAGACGGGTTCCTTCCTGCAGTAATAAGAGCTGCAGCGCAGGAGGCTGTGCAAGGCATGTGCCACGGCATAGACGGCCGAGTACACGCAGTAGGCCACACGCTCTCCAGAGAGCGTGAGGATGGTGTTGAAGGACCTGGTGACGTTCAAGCAGGCGTCGCATTCCTGGTTGCAAGTGCCCCGCGGTCTGCTCTTGTTGGGTGGCTGCGCGGGCAGGGCCTTGGGGCGGCGCACGCGGAACTCACTAAAGCCAGGCATGGGCACCTCCTGGATGGTGATGCCAAGGAAGGTCCCAGTGTTCTGCAGCCCGCTAAGATTGTGCAGGACCGGGTCTATGGCCCAGGATTCGGAGGCAATCCACACCATGTCGGTGACGTTCCAGTGCAGCGCCTGATGGAAGAAGTTGTGCAGCGCCAGCTCAGGAGAGAACACGACCACGATGCGCGCTGTGGCCTGCTTCAGCTTGAGCAGGATGCCCTCCAGCTGCCTCAGCTCTGCAGCCGTCGCGACCTGATCGGGCTGCGGCATGGGCAGCACCTCCTGGAAAGCGATGCAGATGTCGTTGCTGCGGGCCAGGCGGTCTCGGAGCACCTGGCTGTTGTCACGGCCATAGTCGTCATTGCTCATCAGCACCACAATCCAGTTCCAGCGGAACTGAAGCATCAGCTGCACCATGGCCTCGATGTGGTGAGTGGCGCTGGGCATGGTGTGCAGCATGGCGGGGTAGCGCTGCTTGTTGCGTAGCTGGTCACTGATGGCGCTGTAGGAGATCTGCAGGGGGCGAGGGGTCCCGGCATTAGGGAGGGACCCACTGGGTGCCTGGCCCACGGTGGCGGGGGGGGGGGGGGTTCAGCCATCATCATCACCCTGAGGACATTTGTGAGCCACCCCCAGGACCAGGCTTTTCCACCGTCATCAACATGCTCCTCCACGGTGACACCTGAACCTACTGTGCCCCGAGCCCTGGCTGAGAGCTGTGCACCATTATTCCCATCAGCTGGTAACATTTGCTGAGTGCCTACTGTGCGTCCCTGGACATAATGCTTTCCTCCTCAGCACTGTCATCTATTCCTTCCCTCAGGCCCCAGGAAACTTCCGGTTTTCCTCGAAATGCACTGTTTGTTCTGTCTCCTTTCCTGCTTCCATCTCTTGGCCTTGGGGGGCCCCCAGGCTCAGGGTTCCATCGTGGGTTTTTTTTTTTTTCTTGAGAGAGATTCTTTATAGGTTCTTAAGTTGCCCAGGCTGGGCTCAAATTTGTGATCATCCTGCCTCAGCTTCCCAGAGTGCTGAGATTATAGGCATGCGCCCCTGCACGTCTTCTAGCATGGTTCTTTTTCTGCTACACTCATCCCTGGTGATCCCACCCAGCCTCCTCTTTTCAGAGCAACAACTTCCGGTCTTCTGCCCCAGCCCAGCCCTCTCTCCTGAGCTTCAGGGTCATATTTCCAATCTCCCACCTCACATAGCCATGCTGTCCAGCCACAGCCGCCCATCTCAGGGATACTGGGCCCATCCTTCCATTACTCCAGCCAACATCCCTGCAGCACCCTTCACTCTGCCACTTACTGATGTTTATTGTCTGTCTCTGACTAGAAGGTTAGCTCCAGGAGGGCAGGGATCTGTGTTCGTCTGGCTCCCAGCTGTATCCTCTGTGCCTACAGCACTCCCTGGCACACAGTAGGTACTCAAGAAATAGTTGTGACATAAATAAAGGAACAGATTCAGCCCTGGGTTAGCTGCTTTGAATAAAAATATTAACACTCAGTGAGCACCTACTATGTGTCAGACCGTGGGCTCGGCGGTTCCGACTGCGCTGCTGCTCTTTAATGCATACTTAACCTCTACCAGAACTGGACTGGTTGCTTTCTATCATGATGATGATCAGTCACAGTTAGTCATACTAATAGCATTTTTTGAGCACCTACTATGAGGCAGATACTGCACTGGGCAACTGCACAGGATATTGAGCACCTTCTGAGTTTTTGTCCCTGTGCAAGACACTTTACATACCAACAGTAGTGTTGCTGGCCGCTGCTATGTGCTGGAAACTTACAGGTTGAACACTTTACCCCAAAGGCAGTCCTGGGATGGAAATCTTGTCATCTCACTTTACAGGTGGGGAAACTGAGGCTCAGAAGGTTAAGAGATTTGCCAAAGATTTGGAGACTCAGTGCAAAATGCACCCCCAGGTCTGTCAGCTTCCAGAGCCTGAGGCGCCTCCCCCGGATGGGGTCTGACCTTGGTCACATTCGAACCTCCACTCTTGTGGTGATGGGGGAAGGGCTTCCAAGACCCTTGAACAGCCACTCTTTCGACCCCACCCCAGCCCCTCTGCCGGGACCCAGAGCCTCACCTGTGGAAGGAGAAAGAGGGAGAGGAAGTTGGCCACAGTTATGGTGGATTTAGAGTTGTCAGGGCCAATGACAGCCACCACACGAGGTTCATAGGAGCTATAGTCCCTGTTGATGGGCAGGAAGTAGTCTGTCTTTGCCAGGAAGTAGAGTACAGGCTGGACATTATTGGTTTGGTAGCAGATGTCCACTATCTCATAGCCCAGCTGCACGCCAGGCAGCAGGCTGCTGTGGTTGTTGATCTCCTCCACCGCGAAGCGCATGGCCTGCATGAGGTTGTAACCCAGCACCTTCATGTCGTACCTGGAGGGGTGCAATGGAGTGAGGCGGAAGCTGAGTGGTGCAGAGTGAGGAGGGGATGGGTGGAGAGAGACAGGGAGGGCCAAGACACTGACCAAGGAGCCACTCCAGAAGCACCTGGCATTTTTACCACATCCTTGTCACTGTTCCGTGTCTCTCGGATCACCATTGTCCCTGTGGCCACCACAGACAGTGATCACTGTGGCCACCATGGCTACCATCTGTATGCACTCCATCACCACTCCACTGATGTCCACTGTGACTCCCATTCCCATGGTCACCATCAGCACCCCTTCTCCCAGTCACCAGCATTGCTACCACTGCCGTTACTGTCACATCTTTGTGACCACCACTGCCACCACCTTCATCTACCATCACTACATGCTTCAGCTTTGTTATCACTGGTATTTCTACTATCAGCACTATTAGCATCACCAGCACCACATCCATTGCCATTGTCAGATTGCCCATCACTGTCTGAAGCATCAGAAAATCCACCACCATGCTTGATACCATCACTGGCACCACTGCCCTCTCCACTGTCCAGCCAGCATGTGCTGTCTGTCCCCCTGCATCATAGAAATGGTACATTTCTGTAGTCAGCCCTTGGTCATCTTTTGCTCTTTCCTTCCTTCCTATTGCTCAAATGCTCCACCTTCTCTAAGTGAGGTCACTTTACAACCTCAGGCTGGCTGGAGTGTCCCAGGCTTCATGCTTGCAGGAAAATTGTCCACCCAATCTCTGCGTGGTGCTGTCATTCCAAGGGACTCACAGGGAAGGGATCACCTGCAGTCCTGGAAGCATCACCCACCCACCCAATCACAGCCCTTGGAAAATTCGAACCTCCCCCTCCACCTGAAACCTGCTACAGAAAAACCACATCCTGCCTCCCAAAGGCACAGCCCCTGGTGTCCAGCCTGGGCCATGACATGATTCACTGAGAGCCCTTATTGCTAGTGTGGGTGGGGGACTCTGATGGTCTCTAAGACCTCTCTGAGCTCAGGGGGTGACATGGAACTCTACAGGGAGAAACGACATCAGCACAACCCAGTCCTACTGATGCAGGACTGGGTCACAAAGATTGCAGTGACATGGATTGCATAGGGCCTCCCTGGGGACCAGAAGACAGGTAGCAATGGATGAGGAGCGTCCTGAGCCCTCAATCCTGGTCTGGCCCCCTGAGGACCACAGGACCAGACCTGGATCCCCATACCACCCCCCACAGCCATGGCCAGGCTCACGTGAGACTCACTCCTGGCACTTGGGCACCTGCAGGACGGTGAGGTGGGAAGTGCCCTGTGCGTTGGCATGGAGGGTAAAGAGGCCACCCAGGAGGTAGTCGCCAGGCAAGAAGAAGTCCAAGTTCTCAGCCGGCTCAGCTGTCCCAGCCAGGATCTGCAGCAGGAGGAACAGGGCCCAGGGCGTCCTTGTCCAGAGCCCCATGGCTGTGAAGTGACAGTGCCTGCCTCACTGCAGAGTGGGTGACTTGACACCAGGGCATTTGCATAAGCATTTACATAGGGACCATCCTGCCACTGACATGAGGCACCTGGGGCAGGTGGAGCCCTCTGGGGGCTTAGGGGAAGGAGCCGGAAGGAACCAGGATGCTCCTTCCTGGGAGAGTGTGGAGCCTGGTGGCCTGGGAGCAGAACCCTGTTTGGAGGGAGAGGGCAATCTGCTGGCCGGCCACAGCATCTTCTGCCCCTTGGCCGGGAGTGGGCTCCCTGTCCCGACAGTTAACACTTAAGAAGTGAGGACACAGGGGTTCCCAGGAGACAGAGTGGGTAGCAAAAGACCCAAGCTCTGGGGCTAATCAAGGGGGACACAATGTAATCTTCACAGGGCACCTGGCACATCAGGTGTCCAAAGAGCAGTGGACACCGTCAGCAAGAACCAGGCATCACCTAAGGGTGTGTCATCCACCGTCTCCTTTAATGCTCCCAATATCTGAGACTCTTGCAAGCCTCATTTCACAGACGGGTAGACTGAGGCCCTGAGAAGTTAAGAAACTCAGTCATGTACGCTGCTAGCAGAGCTGGGATGCAGTTTGATCGCTAGGTCACCTGACACCACAGAGCCATCGCTTTTCATATAAAGCAACAGCAGCAGTGAGAGTGTAGGGTGGCCGTGGGGACAGAGGCCTCACTCCTGGTGGCTGCCACCTGCAGCTAGCCAGTTGTCAGCTTTGTGATGTGAGCCCCGCCATGTGCCCACCTTGACTCTGTGCCGGGGGCAGAGGCATCTGCAAAATGGAAAAGTGAAGACTCTTAAAGGTGTCTGCCCAAGGACTGAAGGGACCAGGGGCCCACTGGAATCAGGGACCTGCATTTCCCTAACTCTGCTCTGATCCTTTCCAACCCAGATGTGTGGTCAAGCAGGGGCCTCAGGGGACCTGCTGTACGCAGCCCAGCTCAGGTGGCTGTCACTGGCCTGTCCCCTGCTCCAGGGTGCAGGTGCTGATGGGAGGAGGCCTCAGGGTGACAAAGAGCTCACTGAAACCCCAACACTCTCCTCCGCCTGACCCTAGTCCAGCCCTCTCCTCCACTGAAGTAAAGATGACTCCAGCCTCCCAGGATTGGTGCAAACTGCAGGGTAAGAGTGGGCCCTGGAGAAAGGAGAGACCACCAAAGGGCATGATTGTCCCTTCTTATACCAAGATGAACCGCCACTGGGAATACCACCTGCTCCACACCAACTAAACTGACCCTCTGTGCCCCAGTGTGTCTCAAAGTTACCCCGAGGGGCATCAGATGTCTTCATCAGCTCCAGAGATGGGGACACCCTTCTTGCCCCAATCGCTTTTGGGGTGCAGTCACCCTATGGACATTTACAACCACAAGAGCTTTCTTGGGCAGTGGAAAGATTCAGAACTTGCTGGGTGACCTTGGGCCTGTCCCTGCTTCTCTGTCGGCCTATGTAAGCCAGTGGAGGGGACCCCATAAAACAGAAGGAAGAGCTCTACATGAGACGTTTGAAGGCATGGGTTCTGGCCTGGTGTTCTCTCTGGGCCTCAATTTCCTCATCTATACTATGGGGAAACCACTCTGTGCATCCCCGCCTCAAACTTGCCTCTGCCTCCGGCTCCTCTTCAGCCCCTGCACCCTTTCCAGGCCCCACCCCAAGCCCAGATGCTTGTCATCTCCTTCCTGGACTACTCCATCCACCCTTCATAGATTGTTTTAAGCCGGCCCCCTTGCTCCTCTACTCTGCCCACCTTGGACTCCCTCCTGCCAGGCCAGGACCAAGTCTGAGCCCTGGGCCCAGCCTCCAAGGCCTCAGCAGCCTGGCCTGCTCAGTCATTCTGTCCTTCCCAGATGCCCTATCCAGCTGTGCCCTGCTTTGTGTGCCCCAGACCACAGCCCCACAGGCCTCCTTTGGCAGTGGTCCCTGCAGGATCTTCCTGAAGTGGCATTCTAGGGACATCCAGGACCACAGTCCCTGCCCTGACAAACACCCCAGGGGCTGAGGAGCTGTAACAACAGACAGCAATATCCCCAATGGGTGTTAGAGGCCATGCCCAGGGCCAGACATTTCATGTGCATTACTACTGCTTTACCACGCCCCCACAAAGTTGCCATGGTTACTTCCAGTTTAAAGAGGAGGAAACTGAGGCTCAGAGAGGTTAAAGGGCTTGTGAGTGACACACAACTAACGGTGGTAAACGCAGAACGTCAGCACAGGCTGCCCAAGTCCCAGACTGTATGTTGTGTGACCATAGGGTATTCACCTGCAGGAGCTGGCACCACAGGTCCCACCATCGGGTGGGAGCACTGAAGCCCTCCCCATGCAGGCCCCACCTAAGCCAAGGTGCTAGGGAAGGTCAGTTTCCAAGGTAGCCACAGGACCTGCCTTCGTGGGCTCTGAAAAGGGGGCAGAGGCTGCTGGAGCTGGGCGGCCATGGGCCGTGCTGAGCCTCCTGGGAAAGCCAGGTGACCCAGAGAGGCATATGGTGAGGGTGGGGCGAGAGACAGAGCCTCTAGATTAACCAGGCCGGATGTCACCCAGCCTCAGGGTGTGGGTGGGCGCTGGAAAAGCCATTCATGCAGTGGGCAGTCACTCCAAGTCCGGAAAAGCAGGTTGGTTTCCCCTCCACTCTTGTAAAGTCAATCAGGAGTATGTTGGGACAGCCTCCTGACACCCTGAGACAGAGTGAGGAGGCAGACAGGCAGTCTGACCCGAGTTTCTGGTTCAGCTCTGCCCAAGGGTAGGCAGCCCATGGGGGAGTTACTTCCGTTCACACAGCCTCAGTGTGCCTCTCTGTAAAATGAACTCAGTGCTTAGCATTTCAGGTGAGGCCCCTGCTGTGATCCTGAGCAAGCCCTGCACACCACAGCCACAACACATGAGCTGTCCCCAGACCCAGCCTGCCACAACGCTTGGAGCTTGTCCACAGTCTGTGCTGAGACATCGTCCAGGGTCCTTGTGCTGGCCACCCAGAAGACAAACAGCCAGACACCGTGTCACCGTGACTGTCCTTAGTGTTGCACACATGGCACATGCCCCCGGGGTGGACTAACACAGCTGTCACCCATGGCCCGATCTCACACCTGTGTGGCCGCTGGTTCCAAAGTGAAGGACAGACTTATGCAAAGCACTCAGGGAGGCCAAGGGGCTGCTTTGGGCCCGGGACTTGCCTTGGCGTCTGCTTGGGGAAAGGAACAGGGCTGCCCTGGGCTTCCGTCCTCCGTGTGCCCTGTGGGTGGGTGAGGTTTCAGCCCGGGCAGTAACTGGCAGCCACAACCCCCTCTGCTGTCTCTGCCCCCAGACAGACCCGGGCGGTTGCAGACCCAGACTCACCTGACTTAGGGTGTAGAGGATGGGCAAGCAGGGTCTCCTGGGGAGGGTTGGGAACCAGGTGGCCCTCAAGCTGGCCAGAGGGAGCTCAGAGGATGGGCACTGGGGAGGCCCCAGGGTCACAGGGGGCCACAGCAGCTTCACCTCCCAGAGCCTTAGTTTCTTATCTCTAAATGGAGCCAAAATAATACTTCCTCCCTTGCAGGCTGGTATGGCCCATGATCATTAGTGGGAACACGGAGCTTATCAATAGATGCTCAGAACCCAGCATGGTGGCACATGCCTGTAATCCCAGCACTTTGGGAGGCTGAGACAGGAGGATGACAAGTATGAGCCCAGCCTGGGCAACTTAGTGACTTAATGAGAACTTGTCTCAAAATAAAAGTGAAGAAGAGTTGGGGAGGTAGCTCAGTGTGAAGACCCTGGATACTCTCCCCTCCCCCAGGTAGACTCTCAAGTCAGATCAGGGCTCCTCCCCTTCCTGGGCACCCATGCATCCAGGATGAAGTTCTTGTGTACAGAATTATTTGAGCAGGGCACAGAGCCTGACCCTTTGTTTTAAAACATTTTGTTTGGACTCAGCTCCCCGAGAAACATCAGCCCTGAAGCTGGGAGGTCAAGAAACAGCTAAGAGGGGTCAGGGCTGGGATTCTAGTCCCAGGCTGTCTGGCTCTGCAGCTATTCAGTGGTGGTGCCAATGGCCTGGCAGCTGGAGATGGGGCTGCTCATTTTCCTACTAGTGTACTCGTTAACCTGCCCTGCCTCAGTTTCCCCATCTGTTAAATGGGAGTAGCAAGTCACTTTACAGGGCTGCCATGAGGACGAGGGAGCTAAAGAGCTCAGCTCAACTCCAGGCAGAGCCCAGTCCCAGTGAGCCTGGCCCCTAAGCAGAATGCACAGGGTTACAATGATGGGGGTGAGGAAGGAGGTTTAATGAGAATGGAGATGCGAGTCCAGGAGGAGGGCTGGCCTCACCCTGCCTGCCAACCCCTGGGGCTCTGGGTAGGCCTGGTGACCAGCAGCCAGCACAGGTGGACTCTCATTTCCTTAGTGCATGCTTGACTGGCAACCTGTAGGATGGCGGTGGCAGGGACATCCGGCCTCAGTCAAATGGCTCATGCTGAGCCCAGGGCTGTGGCTAGGCCCCTGGCCACCGCAGGTAAATGAAGGGGCTCCTTGGGTGACCGCGGACATGGGGACTTAGTGCGCTGGCCATGCAAAGAGGCCTCAGGCACCTGAGCAGAGACAGGCACTGTGCCTGAGAACCATCAGCCTTGAGTCTGGGGGGTGGGCATAGGCAGAGGGGTCTTGCCCTAGTTCAAAAGGAGGCAGAGGGGCTAGGTTAGCTTAAAATGACAGTGGCAGAGGAGCTTAGAAGACAGGGACCTGATGGAGTAGGTGGCCAAGGTATATGGGCTGCGGGCACCTAGTCCTGGGTTCAAACCCACCTTCTTAAAAGTAGCAAGTTGTGAAAGTAGCACATAAAACTAGCTAGGCAAGCTCATCACCAGGAATCAGGCAGCTCTGCCTCTGTTTCAGTGTGACCGTGAGCAAATTTTACTATTTGCTCAAAAACATGACCAGAGCCCACATGCCCCGAGCCCACATGCCCCTTGGGTATAAAATGCCACCCTTTCCTTCTGTGAGCTCCAGCTGGAGCACTCAAGGCACTGCCCTTTGTCCCTGGGCACAGCCACCTGCAAAATCCTTGTCTGGAGTCAAGCTGTTTCTGGAACCAAGCAGTGGCAGCTAGGAGATAGGCAGGATGGGGGCTCTGCCAGGGCGAAGTCTCTCCTCCTTGCCTGTCCCCAAGATCTGCTCGGTGGGCTGGCAGAAACCTACCCTTCACCATTCTACTAAGACCATCCACTACTGGATGAGGCCCACCTACATCATGAAGGGTGATCAGATTTATTTTCCTTTTTAAAGGCCACTGATTTTAATGTCACTCGTCTAAAAAACACCTTCACAGAAACATCTGGAATGTTTGGCCAAATGTCTGAGTCCTGGGACCCAGCCAAAGTGACACATAAAACCCCCATGGCACCTGATGGCAGTTGTTATGATGACTAAATGGGTGACAGTTTTGATCATTATCCATCTGGCACTGTCCTGACCTATATGAATAAATCGATCCTCCTGTGTGCATGTGCAGCAGACGGAATTACCCCATTTTATGGATGAAAAGACAGTTCAGGGAGATGACAGAACTTTTTGGAAATCACCTGGCTGGGAAGCAGTGAGCCATCATTTGAACCCAGGAAGTCTGGCTCCTGCCACCTCCAGCAGGTTCTTCAGATGCCAGGTTCTCCCTTCCTCCTGTCACACTAAGGGCACCGTGTCTGCCACCTGACAACACACTGCGGTGCCATCAGACTCAGAAGGAAAAGTCAGCTGCCCCCATGACCCCCAACAGAAAGACTACCGCTTTGATAGGTAACAGGAATTTTATTGGTGGCACGGGGAGTGCCCAGCTGCTACCTCACAGTGTAGACAGAATCAGTAGAAAAACCTCCAGCCTGTGCCCCCCACCCAGCCTACCATGGGAAATGACACAGAGCTCGGAAGGAAACAGAGCCCACTTCCGGCCAAGGTGGCACTGGACCCACCCCAGACTGTGTGCCATGGTGTGAAATGGGCACTTGGGTGTGGCCACACCAGCTCTGTGGGACCAGCACTCAGCCCCTCAGTAGCATCCTGGAAAGTCACACCTCACAGGTTCTGACCACTCAGAACCCACCCAGTGAGGGGTTTCCCCAGCTACTCGCTGGCTGCATCCGGCAAAGAACAGGCCTCTGAGGGGCCGGCCCGTCACTCAGAGCCACTAACCCACTGAGGAGTCCAAAGCTGACAGTTGGCCCAGCTGAGTCTCAGAACAGGGAGAAGGGGCCAGCAATGTCAGCCTGGGCTGAGCTGAATCCCTGCAAGGGAATCCAGGCCCTATGTGGGCTCTGGGGACAGACATCTCTAGAGGCAGGACCAGGAGAGCTGAGGGATAGCCCAACAGAGAAGAGGTGACCCAAATTTCCAAAATCACAACCGGCCTGGGAGGACCGTCACCTCTCACACCTTGGCAGGTGGCCAGAAGGGCCATGGGCCTTTAGGGAACACAGGTACAGGGGGGAAGGCACGTAGTATCTAAGGCATATAGCTGGCCACAGGAGGGCTGGACAGATAGAGTGTGAAAGGGGGCAGCCCAAACTACAGAGGGCGAGGCAGCTGTGTCCCCTGTACCCTGCAGGCCACCCCTGGCCACAGCCAGGAGCCTCTGTAAGTGATGAGGTTGTCACGGGGCCTGGAGCTGCCTCCTTTCCCCACAGGGCATCCAGAGGTGCTCCCTCTCCATTCCTCAGGTCCCTGAGCCACCAGGCTCAGCATGGGGAGAGGGAAGCAGACTGATGGAGAACCAGCCAGGTACCAGGGTTGTATCTGTTAGGTTTCTAACGTGGCTGATGGGAAAAGGGGTCAGTGGGCCTTTCTTCCCCAACATGTCCTCAAACTAGAGCCTGGGCACCTGACACTGGTGACAGGAGGGGCTGGGATATGGACAAATGGCAGGAGAGACCAAGCTTGGCTCTAGAAGGGCCGCTGTCAATAAGGAGCCTGTGGAGGAGCAGAGCGGGGTCAGTGCAGTAAGGTCAGTCATCTGGATGGACAGACAGGTGGACAGTGGAGGCAATGAACAGGGCTCACTGCATATATGAGTAGCACCAGTCTCCCAGGGGCTTGTGGGTCTCTTTGATGACCTGGGGCGATGTCCAGCGCAGGATGTAGTGGGGACCCCCTGGCTTGTCATTGGTTCCTGTGGAAAAGACAGTTCTGTTTTTCTCAGAAAAGACACAAGGGTTCTGGGCAGAAGAGCCAAGAGGGAGGAGCTTGTAGAATAAACAGGGTACCAGCATTTGCAGCAAGTGGCAGGAAGGTCCCAGAGGGACAAAGAGGGACACTGTCCCCTGTCTATTAGCTGGGAGGGGCCACAGCAGCTAAAACTGGACATATTCACAGCACTGGGCTTTGCTGGGCACACCTGGGCCACGTGAGCACAGGTGGAATTTGGATGAGGCATACTACCTGATGGGCAGGCATGATGCCAATACTTGGGGGTCCATGTGCTCCACCAGCAAGGGGAGGAGGCAGGGAGCACTGCAGAAAGAGCACTGGATGGGGAGTCAGAGAACTGCTGTGATCCTGAGACACAGTAAGAAATCTGTGCTTCATCTTCAAAACTAGTTCCCTACTCAGCCAGTGCTCCTAAACCCTTGGAATTTCCTGAGTGATACAAGTTAGAGGATCATCTTTTGTTACTCATAAGCCCCTTTCAGTCACATCTGTATTTATGCTAATGAGTAACTCTTAGGGGCTGGGAGCTGAGGGGAACCATCTGGGTGATTAAGGATTGATACTTTCAGCCCTGGTCCACCAGGTAGAGGGGCTAGAACCTGACTTAATCACCAGTGGCCAATGATTTGAACATGGTGCTTACATAATGAAGCCTCAGAGATCCCACCAAAGAATGGGGTTTTGAGGGTATCTGGGTTGGTGAATAAGAACACATCCACATGCAAGGAGGGTGGTGTACCCCAAACTCCATGGGGACAGAAGTTCCTGTGCTCAGGAGCCTTCCAGACTTTATCCTATGCACCTCTTCATCTGGATGTCTATCTGTATTCTTTAAAATATCCTGCTACCCCATTATTGGGGTTCAAGAAGGCCTCAAGAATACCACAGGAGTAGAAAGATATAATAATAAAAACTTCCCAAAACCTAGAGAAAGATACAAATATTCAGGTACAGGAAGGTCCAAAGTCACCAGTTAGATTTAACTCAAGCAAGTCTACCCCAAGATACACCATAATCAAATTTTCCAAGGTGAAAGATAAAGAGAAGAATCTCAAGACTGCAAGAGAAAATGAACAGATACACAGGAATGTCCCAATTTGCCCAACAGCAGACTTCTCAGCAGAAACCTGACAGGCCAGGAGAGTCATAATAAAAGTAGAAACCAAATTTCAAAAAGGATATAAGATCTTACGTACAGATAATCACATTAAATGTGAATGGATTAAATTCTCCAAATTAGAAGATAGAGTGACTGAATGAATTTAAAAAGACCCAACCATATGTTGCTTACAAGAAACTCACATCACTGCTAAGAATACATGCAAAATGAAAGTGAAGGTACAGATTAGAGATTCCATGAAAATGGAGTCCAAAAGAAGCGGAAATAGCCATACTTATATCAGGTAAAATAGACTTTAAAGGCAGTAAAGAGAGACAAGAAAGATAGTATAATATGACAAAGGGGTCAAGTCAGCAAAAAGAAATAACAATTCTAAATATATATGCAACCAATATCAGAACAACCTAATTAATATAAAGTGAAAACAGATCTAACCAGAGAGACAGATTTCAATACAGTAATAGTAGAGAACTTTTAACACCCCAACTTAATCAATGGACAGATCATCCAGATAGAAAATCAATAAAGAAACGACAGGGCTGGGGATTTAGTTCAGTGGTGCCACTGCCTGCCTCACAAGCACAAGGTCCTGAGTTCGATCCCCGGTACAAAAAAGAAAAAGAAACAACAGAGTTAAACTGCACCCTTAAACTAAAGGGACCTAACAAATATTTACAGAACATTCCATCTAATAACTACAGATTGAATGTTCTTCTCATTAGCACAGGGAACATTCTCCAGGATGCACCAAATGATAGATCATCAAACCAGTTTCAAGGAAAAAATCTCTGTATGTGGTGCTGGGGCTTAAATCCAGGGCCTTGTTCATGCTAAACATCCACTCTACTACTCATCTACATCCCAAGCCCACAAGTACTTTTAAAATTGAAATCATATCAAGTATCTCTGTCTAACCACAATTCAATAAAACTAGAAATTGATAACCAGAAAAATTTTTGTAACTATACAAATACGTGGAAGCCAAACAATTTCCTCTTGAACAACCAATGAAGCAAGGAAGAAATCAAAAAGGAAATTAAAATTTTCTTGAAACAAATGAAAATGGAGACACAGCATACTAAAACCTATGGGACACAGGAAAAGCAGGACTAAGGGAAAGTTGACAGCAATCAATGCCTACATCAAACAAGTAGCGAGATCTCAAACAACCTATTAGTGAAGTTCAAGGAACTAAAAGAACAAGAATAAAACAAACCCCAAGGTAGCAGGAGGAAAAAAATAATAATGATCAGAGCAAAAATAAATGAAATAGAGACTTTAAAAAATATATAAAAGAGGGCCCGGGGATTTGGCTCAGTGGTTTCACCGCCTGCTGCACAAGTGCAAGGACCTGAGTTCGATCCCTGGTACAAAAAAATATATATATATATAAAAGAGGCCTGGGGATTTAGCTTAGTGGTGCCACCGCCTGCCTCGCAAGTGCAAGGTCCTGAGTTCGATCTCCAGTTCCAAAATAAACAAATAAATTAATTAATTAAATAAAAGATCAACAGAACCAAATGTTGGTTCTTCAAACAGATAAACAAAATTGACAAACCCCTAGACTAAGGAAAAGGGAGAACAGACTCAACATCAGAGCCATGAAGGGAGACATTACAACTGATACCACAGAAATACAAAGGATCATTAGAGAGTATTACAATCAACTATATGCCAACAAATTTCATAACCTAGAAAGAAACAAATTCTTGGACACATATGCCTTAAAGTGCTGACTGAACCCTGAACCCAAGGCTTCACACATGCTAGGCAAGCATTCTACTACTGGGCTACACTCTCATCCCTTTATTAAGATTGAATCATGAGGAAATAGAAAATCTGAACAGATCAATAACAAGTCTGAATCAGTAATAAAAAAATCTCCCATTAAAGAAAATCCCAGGTCCAAATGGGTTGCTGAGTTATACTAAGAATCTGAATAAGAACTAATACCAATTCTTCTCTAATTATTCAAAAAAAATTGACGAGAACAGAATTCTTCCACACATTTTCCAAGGTCAACAATGCTCTGACACCAAAACGAGACAGGACAACAAGAAAAACTATAGGCCAATATCCTTGAGGAACATTAAAAATCCTCAACAAAATACTTAAAAATTGACTCTAACAGCTTATTAAAAAGATTATTCACCATGATCAAGTGGGATTCATCTTGGAAATAAAAGAATGATTCATTCAATGAATACAAATCAATAAATGTAATACAACACATCAACAGAATGGACAAAAACCACAATTGTCTCAGTAGACACAGAAAAGGCATTTGATAAAATCTAACATCCATTATAATAAAAACGTTGAACCAATTAGGTATAGAAGAAATGTACTCAATATAACAAAGATCTTATATAATAAGCCAACAGCTAACATCATACTCAATGGGGAAAAGTTGAAAGCTTTTTCTCTGAGATCTGGAATAAGAAAAGGATTCTTACTTATACCAGTTTTATTCAACATAGTACTGGAAGTCCTAGCTAGAGCACCCAGAAAGAGAAAGCAACAAAGGGCATCCAAATTGGGAAAGAGGAAATTGAACCGTCACTGTTTGCAGATGATATGATCTTATGTAAAGAAAACCCCAAGGACTCTACCAAAAAAGTGTTAAAACTAATAAGCTAGCAAAGTTGCAGAACATAAGGCCAATATGTGAAAATCAGTAGCATTACTATAGATCAATAGAAAATTACCTAAAATAGAAATTTAAAAATCAATCCCATTCATAATAGCTAAAAAAAATTTTAAATATCTAGGAAAAAATTTAACCAAAGACATAAAAGGTTTCTACAATGAAAATGATAAAACCTTGATGAAAGAAATTAAAGAGAACACACACACATGTGCACACACAAATACACACGCACAATAAAGGACAAGCACCCTGTGTCCATGGGCTGGAAGAATCATTATTCAAATGTCTATAGTGCCTAAAGTCATCTACAGATTCAATGTAATTCTTACCAAAACATTATTTGTGTGCAAATAAAAAGTCCTGAACAACCAATGTAATTTTCAGCAGCAACAAAAGCAGAAGACATTACACTACCAAACTTCAAAAACACTATAAAACTGCATGAAGACACCCAGACCAATGGAATAGAACAGAGAACCTAACAGTGGACCCCCACATCTACAGCCACCTGATTTTTGACAAAGGTGCTAAGAGCATGCTTCGGAGAAGGCAGTCTTTCAACAAATGGTGCTGGGAAAACTGGACATTCTCATGCAGTAGGATGACACTCTAGTTGAATAAAAGACTTAAATATAAAACCCAAAACTATGAACCTTCTAAGAAAACATTAGGGAATGCTTGAGGACACTGAATAGGCAGGGCTTTTTGGACAAGATCCCAAAAGCACACGAAAGAAAAACAAAAATAGACAAATAGGATTAAATGAACTAAAAAGCTTCTGTACAACAAAGAAAATAAACATCAGAGTGAAAAAACAACCAACAGAATGAGAAAAAAATTTGCAAACTATATGTTTGACAAGGAGTTAATACCTAGAGTATATAAGGTACTAAAAAAAGTCAATTTAAAAATGAGCAATCTAGGGCCAGGGATTTAGCTCAGTGGTTCTGCCGCCTGCCTCACAAGCGCAAGGACCTGAGTTCAATCCCCGGTACCAAAAAAGAAAAAATGAGCAATTTACCTAAACAGACATTTTTCAAAAGAAGATATACTAAAGGCCAACATGTATGTGAAAGAAATGCTCAACATTACTAATAATTAAGGAAGTGCAAATCCAAACCAGTATTAGATACCGGCTCACTCCAGTAAGAATGGCTAAAATCAAAAAGACAAGAGCTGATAAGGATGTGGAGAAAAGGAAATGTTTGCACACTGTTGGGGGTTAGTGTAACTTAGTATAGACTTTGTTCAAAACAATATTAAAGACAGAACTATGATCTGACCCAGCAATCCCGTATTCCATATCCAAAGGAAATGAAATCAGTATGTCAAAGACACCTGCACTCTCATGCGCACTGCAGCACAGTAGCCAAGGAAAGAAAGTAACCTAAGCCACCAACTGATGAATGGACACAGAAAATGCAGCACATAAAAGCCACGGAATACTATTCAGCAGTAAAAATAACAATGAAACTCTGCCATTTACAACAACATAGATGGAACTAAAGATCATTATACTAAATGAAATAATCCAGGCATAGACAGACAAGTACCACATGATCTCATTGACGTGTGCAATCTAAAGCAGTTCATCTTTACAAACACAGTGGAAAGGCAGGAAAAGTGGGAGGGGTAGGGGGAGGTTGGAAAGGCTATCAATGGATACTAAGTTACCATCAGACAGGAGCAAGATATTCTGGCATGCTACTGCACGTTGGGTGACTATAGCTAACTACTAAGCATTTATTTCAAAAAACTAGAAGAGGGCCGGGGATTTAGCTCAGTGGTTTCCCCGCCTGCAGCGCAAGCGCAAGGACCAGAGTTCGATACCCGGTACCAAAAAAAACACAAAACTTTGGGCCGGGGATTTAGCTCAGTGGTTTCGCCATCTGCTGCGCAAGCACAAGGACCTGAGTTCAATCCCTGGTACCAAAAAATTAAAAAAAAAAAAAAAAAACTAGAAGAAAGGATTTTGAATTTTTCACCATATAGAAATGATAAATGTTTAAAAAGATAGATATACTTGAGTTGAACATTACAGAATGTGTACATGTATCAAATCACAAGGTACCCCATTAATATGTATAATTTTTGTATCTATGAATGAGTGTAAAAAATTAATTTAAGAGCCAGGAATGTAGCTCAGTGGTGCTGCACCTGCTTAGCAAGCACAAGGTCCTGAGTTTGATTCTCAGTACCAGAAAAAAAATATAAAACTATTTATCTTTTGTATCAGTAATAGCAAGTCCACTTTCCCTGGGCCCGTAAGCCATTCCAGCAAATTACAGAGCCTGAAGTGGGAATCTCTGTTCTGTAGCCATGTCGGGCAGAAGTGTGGGGAATCTGAACCCACTGCTTGCGAATGGCACCTGAAGTGGGGGGCATCTTGTACGACTGAACTCTGAATCTGGGCATTTCTGCCAGCCTGGGCGGGTGGCGTCAGAGGGAGGTTGTTCGTAGAACACCTGGGCAGACCAGGTGAGACCTGGGTGAGAACCAGGGCACCTCGCACACTGGATTCAGCCCTGGCTCTGCTTCCATTGTGAAACGGAGGATACCATACTTAAGTGATCTTGAGTGTGACAGTACAGTGTGGGTGCCAGAGCCAAAATTACAACCCCTGTACCTCAGTTTCCTCCACTATGAAAGGAAGGAGGGCACCTTTACTCATGCAGCGGTTCCTGTTTCTCTTAACCCTTGAGATAAAGACTCTCAGATCTCTTGCCATGAATGAGGTCCCCTCGAGGAAGAGAGATCCACTCACCAGAGGCTCGGGCTCCCCCAAAGGGCTGCTGGCCCACCACGGAGCCAGTGGACTTGTCATTGATGTAGAAGTTGCCGGCAGCGTTTCTCAGCATCTTGGTGGCTTCCTGGACGAAGTCCCTGTGAGAGGAGACAGCAATAAGAGGGCACCTGGCCCGCATGCCCCTTCTGTCCCGGGTCCAACCTCCAACACCTTGCCCAGCCACACTGGCTTTCTGGGTTAAGCAGGAGACCATGCATGGGGCTAGTGACACTGGCCAGCTGCTAGTGATGGGCCCTGGATAGGCTACTTAGTGACTAGCCTCTGCTTCCTCTCTGGGAAGAGGCCTGGCATGTCTCCATCACACGGCCACTCTGAGGTCAGACAGGAGGACAGGAGCCAGGCGTCTGCTTCACTCTGCAGTGTGGGGGTGGTCACCGGGCTCCCCAGGCTTCCATCAGCTCTGGGGAAGCTAATCAGAAGCTCCCCAGGCCAGGCCCCCAGAGATTCACTCAGGGGTCACCAGGGGGTCCCAGGCTCTGTACTTCTAACAAAGAGCCCAGGGCTGTGTGCACTTTGCTGGCTCACCTGCCTGCCTGCTGAGGGGGAACCGAGAGAAAGTAGGGTTAGCATTAGTCCCAGGAACTACGCCCTGGAGGTGAGGAAGGGCTGGGAACAGACAGGCACAGGCCATAGGGATGAAGGCTCCCCTACGCCAACCACTCACTTATCCTGGGCAAACACTGCCCCCGTGAGGCCGTAGCTGGTGGTGCTGTCAACAAGCTGCAGGGTCTCTCTGTACCTGTCGTCCGGGTAGACGTACACAGTGAGCACGGGCCCAAAGATCTCCTGAGAGAAGCAATGGTCAGTGTCCCCAAGTCCCCACTCTGCTTCCCTCTCCCCATCCCCAGGCCTCTGTCCACACCTCAGCCAGAGACTGCTTCCCCCAGGTTTCCCTGGGGACGGGGGAGGGTGCCCAGCTTCCTGCCCCATCTACTCCCACCTGATGCAGCATGCTCTGGCCTCCTTGCTGAACCCAGCCCTGAAGAGAAAATGGGCCAGGCCCTTGGAGACGGGAGGCTCTTAGCAACCGCTCGTGGTGGAACTGCCTCCTCGTGGTCCCCTCTGCCACCAAGGGCTGGGGGAAGAGCCTAGCCCTGCACTGCCACCCCAGGCAAGAGCTCAAGAGCCTCGACCTCTCAGGGCCTTGGTCTCTGCTCCATCAAGTGGGAGTGGTGATGCCTCATGGTCTCAGCCGACGCCACCTGTGACTAGCCCACTGTGGGAAGGCTGCCATCATTGCTGCTACAGTTGCTGGGGTGGCCATGCGTGGCCATGAACAGCGGCAATGCTAGGACCCAGGGAGGGCCAGCAGCAACAAGGACAGGGCACTGGATTTGGAACAGGAGCCCCAAGCTGAAGTCCTGGCTTTGCTCTCTCCTCTGTGAAGTGGGACAGTGGGGAGGAAGACCCCTCACCATGCCCTGCATATGCTCTTGTGAGTATCCTGGCCTGGGCCCAGGCAGCCCACCCTGGTTACCTCCTTCATGATGGGCTCCTGAGGGTCCGTGCTCTCCACGATGCAGGGCTCCACAAAGTAGCCCACTGAGTCATCACATTTGCCCCCAGCCAGGACGGAGAGGTTGGGTGAGGAGCGAGCATGCTCCAGCCACTTCTTGATGCGTGCAAAGGACTGCAGCAGATGAAGAGGAGAGTGCCAGTTGAGCTGGGGTTCCCAGCAGCGGCTCCCAACACACCTCCAAACCCCCAAAAGACCTGTGCCCAAAGGGCTCATGTTTTCTGGAATAGGGGCAGAGTCAGGGGAGGGCCAGGCTCTGGGTGAACCACGGCAGAGACAAGGGTGGACCCGCACCTATATGCATGTGCGTGTGCACATACGTGAACACAGGGTAGAACCACAGTGGTACTTGTAAACACACACACAGATTAAAGTGTAGGTCTATGCGCATGCATGGGTGCCTGGATATGTGCAGCACACGATGGGCCTGCCTGTGTGCAGGGGAGCTGCCTTGCTCAGAGCAGCAGGGTGAGTGGCTCCCACGTCAGAGCCCTCACATGTCCTCCTCCTCCCAATCCAGGGCTGAGCCCCCAGGAATGCCCTCTTCCTGTCCGTACCTTGGCATCAATCACTGCGGAGAAGAAGGTCCCAAAATCCTCCACGGGCTGCAAGCAAGGAAGGGAGAGGCCAGGGGAGGTGAGCCCCGCCACGCGCCTGCCCCATGTGTCCTCCCGTGTCCCTCCCACCTGCACTCAGACAGCCGAGCCCCAATCCCATCAGCCCCCCGCTGAGCCACTCACATCGCCCACTTTGATCCTGCTGTGCTCCTCCAGCAGCCGCCCTTTGATCTGCGGCCACAGCGAGCTGGGCACGTAGAGGCGCGAGCAGGCCGAGCACTTCTGGCCACCGTACTCAAAGGCCGAGCGCAGTGTCCCGCTCACCACGCTGTCCACGTCGGCTGAGCGGTGCACGAAGTGAAAGTTCTTCCCGCCACACTCTTTGGGGAACAAACAGGTCAGGGAATGAATGGGGGCTTCCCTGGCTGTTTCACAGCCCAAACCACTGTCCGCACCACCCATGGTGCCCTGGTCCCGGTGCCAGCCTCACAGATCACAGATGAGGAAACCGAGGCCCGGAGGGGTAAAGGGTGTTGAGGTCATCAGCACCGGGCAGGTCACCACCCTCCTGCAGTGGTTTTTTCGCCCAGTGAAACACCAGCTAACAGCGCTTGCCACCTGCCTGGCTCCCTGAGAAGAACTTGGGCCATGTTCCCGCCAAGCCTCACAACTATCTCTGTGTTTACTCCGACACAAAGACAAGAAAACCGGGGCAGAGAGATGCAGTCCCATACTTCAGGCTGGGCTGTGTGATTTCCCCCCGGAGGCCTTGAGAAGAAACCTCCAAGAACAGAAACCCCACGTCCCCCCCTCAAGGGGCTGCCTGTTCATCTCACCAAGCTCAGACGGTGCCAGGCGGGGCTGGGAGCTGGGGAAGCGGCAGCCGACCTTGTGCCCTCTCCCCATGAGCCACCAGCCCCAGCTCTGCCTCCCGTGTGCTGTGTGACCGGGGCAGCCCCTGCCTCTAGGTCTCAGCACTTTCCCAAAGTGTGCTCCACACATGGCTGGCGGACATTTGACAAAATCAAAGAAACCAACCTTCGGTCCCTCGGTCACAAGCAGCTGGGGTGCTAGAGAGGCCGGTACAGGCCGCTCTGTCACTGCCAAAGTGCTACCAGGCAGTGCAGGGTCCCCAGCCCCGGCTGGAGAGGCAAGGGGACTCTTACCTCCGGCCAGGCGTGGGAAGGTGCGGAACCGGTCCAGGTTCTGGGCCACCTGCTTCCACAGGTGTTTGAAGGTGCTGGAACCAGGGGACAAACAGCGTGTCAGGGGCTGGGCTCAGGCATGTGGAAGGGTGAGGCCGGGGCATAGGGAGCAGGCCCCACAGAGGAAGGGGCTGAAAAGTCAGGGAGGGGTGTGCAGCCCAGCAGGGGTGAGCAGGGGTCACAGAGGTGGTCACTGGGTAGCTGGGGGCAGCTTCAAAGGGGAGACCGGGTGGCAAGATGGCAGCAAGGTCGAGCCTTGAAAACTGAAGGTGCTGGGCTCTGTCCTGACTCAGACACACAGGGCTGTGTGATCTTGGGCTCACTACTTAACCTCTCTGATCCTCACGTTCTACTCCTCATCTAGGAACTGAAGAACAAGCCCCATGAGGCAGGGCTGCTCCACGATTGCCTCCAATGTTGAGTCCAGAGCTTAGGCCTGAGCTGGCCACACTTGGGGAAACACACTGCCGGGGTAGAGGGGCAACCTCAACCCACCACCCCAGCACCCAGGCCTAAGAGGCCAAGCTGAGGAGCATCCCAGGAGACAGCGCTCACACCCCAGCCCCAAGCTGCTGCCTGGAGGTCCTGCCTCCTCTCTGGGCTCTACTGTGACCAACCTCAGCACCACAAAACAATAAAAATGCTAAACACCCAGGAGCTGAGACACAGCAGCTAATACTAATTTATGACTTTCCTACTTTTCAGCTACTGCTCAGCAGAGCATGGCAAGTGGGCACCAGGCCTGCTCCACCCAGCCAGAGGCTAGAAAACAGCCTCCTCAGCAACTGTCAGGTTGCCATCGCCACCCACAACCCCGAGGGGCGGAGACGGGGTGGCAGGGCCTGAGGCCGGGAGAGGGAGCAGGGAGAAGCCACTGCAGGTGCCCAGCGGAACCAAAAGGAGCCCTACCTGCACACCCGGACACCTCCAGGCACACGATTCATCTTCCTTCCAACAGGCTTGCCCGGGTATCCGGCTGGATGAATGATGCCCTTCCGCCCCCAGCCTGGGTACTTGGGTGTCACCTGTCCTGCCCACTCTGGCCCTGTGGACAGGTGCTGCCATGCTCTTGCCCGCCCTGCCCAGTGCATTCCTGCTGTCTCTACCCTGGATCAGGGCTACTGTCCCTCCCTGGATGCCCACAGCCTCCTACTTCCTGCCACAGAGGCTCCTGCTCCACAGAGCAGCCCTAGTGAGTGGCAACTAGGACAAAGGTGCAAAGGTGGAGGCCTGCAGGCACCAGGCAGAGAAAGCCATTAGCAGACAGGAGCTGCAGAGGCCCAGGGCCAGGTAGGGAGTGAAGAACCAGAGAGCACTACCTGCCATCACACCACAGTGACAAGTGGAAGTGCAGGCCTGGGGGACCAGAGCATCCCAGTTCTCAGAGAAGCCAACATTAGGATTTTTCCATGAAATCATCCAGTGACACAAAAGTGGGCCATCACTGTTAAGCCCCAAAGAAACTACCCCGCCCCCAGGGACTCACGGCACGCTGCCTGTGAAGTTGATGCCGCAGAGGTGCTCTGAGCTGGTGACAGTGTCTCCAAAACCAGGCCCGTCAGCTGGTACAAACTGGATGATGTTGGGGGGCAGGCCGGCCTCCCGGAGGACCCGGTACACAGCATAGCTGGCCAGCATGGCCGTGTCACTGGGCTTCCACAGGACCACGTTGCCCTGGAAATGTACCATGACTCACATGGTTGGGAGCCATGCTGGCCCCGACCCCTAACCTAGCCGTGTTCTCCAAGGGTCTATGCTGTGCTCCAGAAGCCCCCACCAGCAAGGCCCACCGACACGCACTTGGCCAGGGCTCCCTTGCTCCAGAGCCTTCGTCCCTTCATCCTCCCCCTTCCCCCAGCCAGGTCAGTTCTCAGCAGTTCTAGGCGCTGCCTGGGCGCGGCTGCACACAGGCTCTTTGTGTCCTGGGTCGGGCACGTGCACCATAGGCATGCACGAACTTGTGTGTGTGCCCTGCAGGTACAAACCCCAAGGCCGTCCTGCACATGTACACAGCACACACGAGCATGGGCTTCAGCATCTGGCTGCCTGCCAGGCCTCAGCGTCAGCCCTGCCCTGCCCAGGCTGTCTTCGGAGATGTCAAATGGGGACAGTCACCTCCACTCCACTCAGATAACAGCAGTAGGGCCCAGTAATTGCAAAGCCACCGGCCCCGAGACAGACTAAGCCCAAATTTGTTCCATCATTCACCAGCCCTAAGTCTCAGCTTTGTCATAGGCCAAAGACATAATCACAGTTGTTCCCCTTGAAGGCATTGAGAGAATTAAAGGAGGTCACCCACACACAAGTGCCACTGGAGGCAGCAGGCCCTCCGGGTGAACAACAGTTACCAGACCCCTAGGTGCTCTGGTGAGACCTCACCAGACCCCCCAGCCCTGTAAGACGGGCTCCCCCCGTTCCCACTTTGCAGATGAGGACATTGTGTCCCTAAGAAGTCTGCCTGAGGTCACCCAGCCAGGAACAAAGCTGAGATTCAAACCAGGCACCAGACTCCAAAACCTATCCACGTCCCAAGCCTCCACAATTGGCTCTGCCAGCCTCTGTCTGCTGGGACCAGGTGAGACAAGCTGTGGGCAGGTGTGTGACAACCCCTCCCACTGTCCTCACCATCAGGGCCGGTGCCCCTGCCAGGTTGCCACCAATCGCAGTGAAGTTGAAAGGCGAGATGGCCGCCACGAAGCCCTGGGGAAGGAGGAGGCAGTGAGGCCAGGCCCAGGGCTTCCAGCAGCCCCTGCCAGCCCTTCCATCTGCCTGCAGTACCTCCAGCCCCCGGTACACCATGCGGTTGGTGCTGGGTGGCACGCTGATGGGCTGCTCTCCTTCCAGCTCCATTGCAAACTGGGCATTGAATCGGAAGAAGTCAATGAGCTCGGCAGCAGCATCAATCTCGGCTTGGATCACAGTCTTACCCTGCAACAAGGCAGGCTCAGTGGCAATGGAAGAGCCTCCTGCATGATGTTCTTTTTCCCACAGCAAGCACAAAGCCCAGCCCCAGAGAGGACAGGAAGCCTTCAGGGGTCTGACCCAGCCTGAGTAGGGTTAGGACATCGTGTGAAGGATGCAGATGGCTGCTTCCCTGGGGTGAGGATGCAGCCTCACTAGCTACCGCAGGCTAAGAACCTGGAGACTGGTGACTGGGATCCCTTAACTGTCCCTTCTTCCCTTCCTCCTGGTGGCCAATGACAGCCATGGGGAAATGGCTCTGCACAGCAAGAAGGGGCTTTTCCAGATGGCAGTGGGCCCATCCTGGGCACACGGGGTCCATGACTGGTGCACACCCTGGGAGGGACATCATGCCAAGGAAGCTGAGCTGGGAAGTTCAATGAGCTTCCTTCGAGCTCCTGAATCTTTTTAATTTTTCTGGAACTGGGGATTGAATCCAAGAACACTACCACTGAGCTACATCTCCAGCCCTTTTTATTTATTTTTCATTTTGAGACAGGGTCTTTCTAAATTGCCCAGATGCAACTCTAAAAGTGGACACTTCTGGGAGGGCATGTCATCCCATCTCTGTGCAGCAGAGGGCGCTCCGACCACAGGAACAGGGAAGCAGGTGGGAGCAAACAGGCAGCCTGGGTCTGGCTCCTGTAATTGGCCCTTCAGGACCAGGTGGGCTGCACCCTAAGGTTCAGTTCCTGGAGATGGTGAGGATGACCCTTTCCCCCTTGACTCCTTTCCCAGTGCACTAGGTGGCCAGCAACACTCACTGGATACACATTCATTCACTTAATCATTTCTCATGGGTTTCGGAGGCTGAAAGACACTGGAAGCATCAGTCACACTAGTAGGGGAACATTTACATCTAGAATATTGTGGGACCGGGTCTCAAAAAATAAAAAATAAAAAAAACAAATCAAAACATAACTCAGCACACCCTGGTGCGATCAGAACTGTGACTCGGAAGAGCAAGCTCTGGGGAACAGAGCAGAACAAACCCTTGTGGCCTGGGAAGGTTCTGGAAGCCTCAGGAGGAGGGGACAGAAACTGGAGCAAATGGTAAGAGCTCACTCCTGGGAGGGGACCCTGGGCAGCGGCAGAGAGGGTGCCGTGGTGTCCAGGCAGCCTCATTAGTGACACCGCGGGTGGGACAGCCTGGCAGGGGCACAGAGCAGCTGCAAGTGGACAGAGGTTGGGCAGGAGGCCCAGGTCAGGCTGAGGATGTGGGATTCCTCTTTCAGTGACCAAGGGACCCTGGGGGCCGGCAAGCGAGGAACAACCTGCCCTGAGGGCACAGAGGTCTGACGGAGTGGGAATCAGTGAGACTTTGGGGGGCACTGCCATCCAGGACAGGTGGCCCAGAGCAGGGACAGAGATGAAGAGGAGGGGACAGGACCTTGGCGTAGCACAGACTGTCTGGCCATCCCTGACCCTCCATCCTGGCTCCAGCCCCTGTCCCTGCGCACACCCCTGGGTCTCCAATAGGGCCCAGTGGCAGAGGCTACCCAGCCAGTGTCTGCTCACAGAGGGACAGAATGTGACTCACCTGCCCCACCATAGTCTTGGCAAGGATCTCGGCCCTGCGTGGCCCACTCAGCATGTCTGCTGCCTTCAGGAAGATCTGGGCCCGGTCTGCGACAGGTTTCAGGTCCCATTCTTTCCTGGCATCCAAGGCGGCCTTGATGGCCTTGTTGAGCAGGGCCTGATGGGAGAGGAAGTGGTCAGGGCTTCCTTCTGCAACAGAATGGCCCAGGGGAGGGGCCAGGGAAGGGAAATCGGGGAAGCCACTCTGCTCGGGAAGATGCTAGTCCCCGGTCCTCAGCCCCTGTGCCATGGCTGGCTGGGCAGCTCCAGCTCAGAGCACATCCTGGGGTCAGCCTGAGGCCTGAGCAACTGCCAGGTTGGCCACCAGGTGCTGCTCCAGTCTCTCATGGTCTAATCAAGGACCCACCTTATTCCTGGGGCCCCGTAAGCCCTGAACCCACTGCATTGAGGTTCCAGCCATGAGGTCAGAGCCACAGCCTGAGTGGCACACCTGCTGATGGCATTCCAGGCACCTACTGCCCTCACTGCCACACAACACAGCCCTAAATCCCTGTCACAGGGCACTTCAATCCCTGCCTGGCTTTTATCTGGTTCCTTCAACTGCCCACCCTCCCTCCAGAGACCAAGGTCTGCCCCACCGCAGTGGGCACGGCGGACGGCCCAGCCCTGGCCAGGAAGGCTCTCATCTGGCTGGACTTCACCTTTGCATGCCTGGCCCTGTCAGACTGCCCGGAGAATCCACCCCTCAGGGCCAGAGAGAGAAGTGGCGATTAAGCTCCATCCCCACCAGCAGCTTCGGGACTCACCTTGTCCGCATAACAAAACTTGGCTACCTTGTGTCCATGGTTAAAAGGCTGGGAAGAGAGCAGAGTGGGGTCACTGCCAGAAGGGAGGAGCTGGGACAGGTGGGGATGGGCCAAGCGCAGAGCAGGGAGCCCTGTGCAGGGAGGCCCTGGACACATTCGCTCCTTCGCTTCCCCAAAGCCTTCTTTAGTGGCTCCGGCCGCCCTGGTCCTCCCTCCACAAGGTTATTAAGCACCTGCTGCGCAATGAGACATGGTCCCCACCCGCACAGTCTCTGGGTCACAGGCCAGGAGGAAGGCAGGGGCCACAGACCACACAGTCTTTCAGGGAAAGTGTGGGCTATGGTCAGACACGGGTTCAAATCCCAGCTCTGAAGCCTCCTGGCCCTGAGCCTTTCGTAGGCTCATGTCCTCTCCCCAGTGTCCTCGTCTGGGAAACGGGCACTTTGTCCCCACTTCACAGTATGGAGAGCAGGACCAAGTGGGATCGTGGGAACAAATTCTCTGAACCATGTCCAGCATACATGAAGCCGGCTGATAACCCCATTTGCAGAAGGGCCAACCTTTCCCTTTCCCTTGAGTTTCCTGGCTGCCTGCAGCATTCGCCAGTTTCTGGGTGGACCAAGTCCGAAAAGTGGGCTCGGGGACCAGCCCTCTGCTCACTCACCACTTCCGACGGCCCTTGGGACCCAGCAGGGATAATGGCAGATACTGTGTGCACCTCCACACCCACCACCCCACCTGTGGACAGGACTCAGAGGAGCTGAGCACACTGCCTTTTGCTTGAGTTTTGCACGTCCACAGCCCTTGCGGTCTGGGGGGGAAGCACAGGTTCTGTGCGTCTCAGCCGTCAGAGTGCCAGACTCAGGCACCAGGAGAGGTTGCGCCACCCTGGGGGACTTACCGACACCTGGTACTGCACGTCCGATGTCCACACCTCCTCGTCACCCACCACACAGGGGATGGCTTCCGTCCTGCCCTTCAGGTCCTTCAAGGCCTGCGGGGGAAGGATGAGAGTGTGGATGAGCACTTCTGCGGCTCTTTCTCCGGCTGAATCCCTGACAAGGAGCCTGCACTTGGAGCAGCCCCGGCAGGATGGCAGAGAGGAGGTCAGGCTGGACCTGGAGTTTGGGGAACGTGTGCACCCCCTCCTCGCCAAGGACTTTTCTCCAGCCTCAGTCTCCCCAAAGGAAGGTCAGACCTTCCTCCCTGGTGAGGTGCTGCCTGGTCTCGCCAGCACAGCAAGATAAAACACATTTGAAACTCATATGAAATCTCATGATTTGTTTAATTTCTGGCAATTAATTGGAAAGTCATTTTAGTATAAAGCATCTGTGCACATGACCTCTGACCTGGCCTGAGATGTCAACCTACTGCCCCCTGCTGCTGCAGGTTCCAGGCTCCCCAGCCCCATGCTGCCTCCCAGGGCTTAGGCAGGGGCAGGAAGGCAAGGGCCACTGGCACGGAGCCGCATCTCGGGGGCTGTCTCCCTGCAAGCCCTGCACCCTGGGGCCCCACCCTGTTACCTTCAGAAGTGCTTCTCGCTCCGGGGTGCCCTTCGTGAATGCTAAGATGGGCTCATTGGGCACCTGCAGGGACAAGGCTCGCTTCCACCACAGCCTGGGGACAAGGACAGAGCAGAGGCAGGCAGGTCAGCAGCAGCCATTGCTAGGGGTCCTGGAATGGCTCAGAAGCCTGAAACCCAAAGCAAGAGTAGGGCCTGGGGGAGGGAACTGGCCTGGGGCCCAAGACCGGAAAGTCCTGGTCCCACTACTGTGGGCTGCCAGGCATCTGCCTCGCCTCTTCTGAGCCTGTTTCTAAGCTGTTCCATGAGGTTCGTCTCACCAAACCCACAGAGTTGTGTGCTGTCTAAATGCATACTGCAGTGACATGTAAGAGTCCTGCACACATTGAGGGATCCTCTTGCTTTATTTCCCACAATGCTACCGTCATCTCAAATCACTTCTTTCTCCAAGCTGAAAAGGCAGCAGAGCTGAGTCTCAGAATGTGAACCAGCTGAGATCCCCTGGCCTAAGAGCTGGGTACCTCAGAGGCACAAGGGCATCCGACATGTGCATCGTGAACTTGGAGGACTGACCTGAGCCCTGTTCCTGGTGACAGGGAGGGCTGGTCTGGGGACTCAGTGTCTGGTTCTGGTAGGATAGAAGAATTAAAAATCAGCAAGACAAGAGACAAGGAAAATAAAACTGCAGCTTCATTTAAAAATGAAAACTACAGGTTCATGATATAAGCCCATTTCTTTTGTTTATTTGTTTTATTTTTGTTTTTGAGACAGCGTCTGGCTATGTAGTTTGGGCTACCGTTGAACTCACTATGTAGCACTTGGGAAGGCTGAGGCAGGAGGGTCACCATGAGTTCAAGGCCAGCCTAGGTTACATAGTAAGTTTAAAGCCAGACTGAACTACATATCAGACACTATCTCAAAAAACCAAAAACAAAAAGACCACACAGATTTCCACCATAGACCACCTCTTCACCTGTAAATTAGACCACCACCCAAAATACTGAAGATTATCTTATCGTCAGTGGGCCATCCTCACCTACCTACCCAGCACACCAAGACCAAGACTATAGGTTATCAAATTCCACAGATCTCGACTGCCAAAAACACACAAATATTCCCAGTTCGAAACTGCAATGATCAACTGTACTCTACTCTCCTGAAATCTCTGTCTAATAAAACCTTCCTGAGGGCCGGGGATTTAGCTCAATGGTTCTGCTGCCTGCCTCGAAAGCACAAGGACCCAAGTTCGATCCCCTGTACCAAAAAAAAACCTTCCTGGGCCTCTTACTGGTGTGTCCTGAAAACTCTTCTTCCAAGACAGGAGTCAACAAACCTGCAAACTTGTACAACAAAAGGGTAGGATAAGTTTCTCAAAGACCAGCTTGGCAACAGGTCCTGGCAATGGGATTTTAAGAATTCGAATTCCATGCTGGAATCCAACTGCCTTGGGCACTAGTGACCTCTGCCCCCAGGCCCAGCTCTGCCACTTCCCAGCAACGGACTTCCCTCAAGGCCTGTTTCCTCCCCAGGGGCCCCAAGCATGAAGCCTGCCCAGAGCCATGGGGCATATTAGCCTGGACAAAGCTCCCGCCCCACCAGGACATCAACAGGCCTCACCAGGGACTAGGGGCCAGCAGCAGGTGTGGGACACTTGGCGTTTCTTGGTGGCTGCAGCAAGGGAGAACACGAAGGCCATGAGGACCCATGAGAAAATCAGAAAGGTGCTTAGAGAAAAACCTATTAGAAGATTTAGGCTTCTGCTGGGTACTGAGGGGAGGTTCAGGAAGTCACTTTGTTCTGAGTCAGATGCTGTCAGAAAGTGGGGACAATTCTGATTTGGCACAAAGTCCCTCACTTAGCAAGACAGGGGCATCCAGTACTTTCTGGGTGGCCCCACGGCCTTGTTGGAGAAAATTATGAAGTGGACCCATGCATCTCATTTTATCATGGTCTTGAGGCAGGAGATTAGGGCACTGTAGACTGGCTGGGAGAGTGGAAGGACCTGTGTATTACATGCACAGAACAGGTCCCAAAGCCCTGCCCATGGACTTCTCTCCAGAATTTAGATAGGATGGCCCAGACCCAACCTCAGCCTGAGGAGGGGAAATACAAAAGGACACTGAGCCTTCTGCCGCTGCAACCCCTCACAGCTGCCCACTCTCATCCTGCACACTGTATTTTCCTACTTTTCCTTGGCCCAGCCTCACTCCACAGAGCCCCTTCCCTTCCCTACCTGTAATAAATGTAAAACCTCACTACCTTTTGCACTTATTCTTTGCACAAGACAGAAAGAACATCTAGAAGACTACAGTGCCCCAAAACTCGGGAACAGTCTGAGTGATGTTGGCATCTGTGAGTTTATGCCCAACAGGAAGACAAAGGGGCCAGACTGGGAGAGTTGGGGGCCACTTTTTTCTCCTCCAGAAGGAATCTGGGGCTCAAAGGCCCAGCCTGGGTGGCCTGGGAAGACACAGGCCAGGGACCACATGCAGAAGCCCCGAGTTCACTCTGCAAGGTCAATCCAACACCTGCTGTGTCTCTGGTGCAGTCCAGGCCCCAGAGGCACGGCAGTGGTCACGGCAGCAGCTGACCTGGGGGGCACGGGGGGGGCACATGGTCAGGAAATAAACATGCAGATTATACAAGGTGATTATGAGTAACTAAGGGGGAGACAGGGCTGCTTTAGGAAGGCCTCGGCGGGGGGGGGGGGTGACCTCTGACCCCCAAGAAGGTTTAGGGAGCCCAAGAAGTAAGTGTAGGTGAGCAGAGGGTGGACAGGGCCTTCAGAGTTGAGATAAGGGGGATGTAGGGGGACAGGCAAGGTCCCAAAGGGAAGGTAAGCATGTGGGACCCACCCCATCCCTCCTGTCCAAGGACAGACATGCTGCAACCCACCCCACCACACCCAAGGGAACCACAGACATATTCCTCAGCCCCACCCTGCCCCTAGCCAAAGGAAGCAAAGTAGGACTGGGACATATCTAGGCTCAATCCAGGCCTGCTTCCCACTAGCTGTGACGGTAAGGCCACTCCTAATCCTCTGTGAAGTTGTGAGGCCCATTCTCAGGGTTACTTAGAGCTAAAATGCAAAGCTACTAGCCAGGAGCAGTGGCATAAGCCTGTAAGCTCAGCACTCCAGGAGGCTGAGGCAGGAGGATTCTAATTCAAGCAGAGGGTGGGCAATTTAGCAACATAATGAGAACTTGTCTTAAAAAAAAAAAAGCTAACATGGGAATGCACACCCCTACTGTTCGGGAATGAACCCAGAGGCCCCTACAAGCCTCAACAGCCCCTTGGGAATCTGCCTCCTAGGGCATCTGGAAGGGTTAGGCTGGGATCTGGGCTGGAATAGGTCAGACAGCAGGTCAGACGTCACCATGTTGGCTCCAGGTCAGAGGTAGGAACCCTGAGTAACTGAGTTGTCCCAACCCATCTCTGGGCCCCAGGACCCAGCACAGGGAAAAAATCAGGAACTGACACCACACCTGCTCAGTGACCTCAGCACACCTTTAGGGACTCTGGAGCCTGTCCCTCACTTGAGGAATGGAGACAGTGCCATGAGCCTCGAAAGTCACAGTGACCATGACTTCCCTCCTCCTCCGGCCCTGCCAAGACTGAGAGGGCAAATTCCTTCCCCGATGCTCCCAGGATCACAACCCCAGGGGCAGCCAGGGGCTCCTTTGCTGTCAGATTAAAGCTATCAGAGTCCACCCTCAAGTCACAATGCAGGGGCATCAGCCTCCTCCCAGGCAGTGCCAGAAACAGAATCCTGCAGGTCTTCCTGCCCCTCCCAGGCAGGGGCCCCTGTGACCTCAGGATCATGTGCCCTCCAGGCCCTGGCCCGGCCAGCTGTCCCTCAGTTCGAATGTGGCCTGAGGAACACAACTAGTTCAAAGTTCAGCCTGAGTCACTGCAGCCAGAAATAACCCAAGGACCAAGGCAAACTTTTTTTTATTCAGGGGGCATTTTGATTTAACAGGAGCACCCTTCCGTGAAAGGGGATGAATCATTCACAAGACTTGGGATCTCCAGGCCAGGGATATAGCTCAGTGGTGCTACACCTGCCTGGCAAGCACAAGGTCCTGAGTTCCATTCCCGGTACCAAAAAAAAAAAAAAAGACTTGGTGCCTCCATCTAGGGAATCCTTGCAGGCAGGACTATCTCCCTCATTTATTCAATCATTCATTTGTGCACACATTTACCCACATGGCCACAAGGCAGAGATGGTGGGATCAGCTCAGTATCAGCCCACCCAGTTCTTAGTACCCATTTCCTGCACAGCCAGGTGGTGCTAGGCTCCAGAATGCAAATGTCTCTCAGTTCTCCATGAGGAGGCACAAGATAGGGTCTAAATCTGACTCAATTTCCCTAACAATCGGGGTGCCCCCTTCTGTTCCTCCAGAGAACCCCACAACCAGGGCCTGAGACCTAGACCTGCCACCTACCCTTGAAGGTACCAAATTCTGAGCTCT